CAAATTATGAAATAAAGAAAATACTTATATACAGTATGTGAGTACACTTTGGAGATAGGTCTAATTTAGAGAAGAAGCTGGTGAGCCTATACTACACTACGCTACACTACACTACACTACATGCTTTCTTGTTGGAACTTGAAGCTAAGCTAACCTAAGGTAGCCTAGCCTAGCCTAGCTAGCTTAATTAGCCAATTCATCTAATATTGCACTTCATTGAAACTGCTGATGTACTTAATTAATTATAGTAATATTTATTATACTGATCTCCCACGAGCACATGAACATGAGCATGACACTTAGATTTGTCTGATTTTTTTTTTAAAATACCCGCTCTGTTTCGATTCAAATGGGATCTTTGAGTTGTATAATAAATTAAAAAATAATATTTCTTTCGGTTCAAAATTATAGTCTGACTTTTGTTTGATACTAGATTTAAAAAATATTGATATTATATTAGTAGTGGATAAAAAATATGGATAAAAAAAAAATTTGTCCTTGTGAGTGTATTAGTGTAAAAAGTAGTGACAATTGTGTAATAATGATGAAAAAGTAAATGTAATTTTATAGTGATATGATTATTTATGGAAATGAAACTATTGTTTTGGAACGGATAAAAATAATAAACAAGACTATTGTATTGAGACGTAGGGAATAGTATTTTATTAGTCAGTGAAAGTGTGTAAGAAATCTTGATATTTTTGTCCTTTGACTTTATGTAAAAAATAATTATAAATGTGATAGTATATTTGTAATTTAGATAAAATTTAAAGATATTTTATTATTAGTGTATGATTATAATCACTAAAAAATAAATATTTTTGAGTAGAACAGACAAAAATAATATTTTGAGTTACAGACGGAAGAAATAATTAATAAATTAGATTATAAAATATGAATGAGATGAGCTAATAATATTAATTAATGAGTTCCTCTTTGGTTTGTCGAGTAAGACCCCACCTCTTTTCTTGAGCCATGCCCTCCCTTGTATTTATTTATTTATTTATTTTTATTTGTTTATTAATTAATGTATTATTGGGACTTGACTAATAATAATAATAATAACAAAAGTAGAATTAATTGGTGTGTGTATTGTTGTGTGGATCGAGAGTGCAAGTAAAGTACACTTGTGCTTGTCTTGTTTTTTACACTCTTTTGTCCCTCAAACATCATCTCCATTTTCATTCTCAATCCGTCCAATTTCTATTGTCCTGAAGCATATTTGCACAATTTTTTAGGTAATTATATTTTTTTTATGAATGGACAATTTTACCCTTAATTGTACGATAGAAAGTTATAAATGAATTAAGGGTAAAAATATAAAATTTATGTTTTAAAAAAAAATAGGACAATAATTATTGGACGTCCCAAATAGAAAAGTAGGACATTAGTTTGTAGACGGAGGGAGTATTATTTTTCTTATATAAAATACTACTTGTTGGTTCTTGAGCTTTGTTTTATTTCTTTGTTTTTTGGTTTCTTGTGCAAGATTTGTTTTTGTGTTTTTAAGTGTATGGTATTGGTTTACAATATATATATGTAATTTATGATTGAGTTGTTCTTCTTTGAAATGTACATTTTAAAATTGGTTTGTTTATGTTTTATCTTTTGTATCTGCCTTTGATTTGTTTATGGTTTTGGTTTAAGCTTTATGCCCAACTAAACCAACAACTTTTTTCACTCCCAAGCTATCAGAAATTATAGTAATGTTCTAAAGCAAGAAAATTAATAAAATAAATGAATTTTAATTTTACATAAAACTCAAACCAGAAAGACCATAGCAGCCAAAAACATAAAAAATTCCCATTAAAAAAAATGAAAGACTACAAAGTAGAGAGTATACTTCCGAATGGTTTTCGAACCAAAATAGCAAATGAATCATAATATATATACACATAATATGTATTCATATACTTCCTCAGTCCCATAACTAAATATCCATTTGTTTTTTGTACGTAGTTTTAGAAATATTAGTATTATTTTTTTGATGTAGTAGAAATAAAGTATAAATGATTAAAATAACCTTATTAGTACATGTGATATAAAGGTAATGACATTTGTGTGATATATTGTAAGTTGTAAGGGTATTTGTAATGTTAGGTAGATAGTACAGTTGCTTAAAAAAATATATATATTTTGTTATGGGATAGACTAAAATAAAAAAATGAATACGTTGTTATGCGACAAATGGAGTAATATATATATATATATATATATATACAGTTGTATTAGAAGGATTGGGAACAAAGGGAGGCTGAGGATCCCGTCTTGTCTAAGAGATGTATAATAGTACTTAAAGTCTCACTCCAAAATAATGCAACCAAACTTAATTCCGACAACAAGTATTTCACTCTATCTATTATAATACATCTCAACTTGTCTCCATCATATTTCTTAATTAAGATCTGAATCGTTTGAACACATCAAACATTTAGATCTTGTCTTTAATGTATAATTCTTTATTTTTCTTGAATGATAATCTATAAATATTACAAAATAGAGAACATCATCAAGAATCTTTATTTTTATAGGACCACAAACATCAAAATATATCAACTTAGGTTACCTAACACCCTAGAAGGGGTTGATGCCTTAAAACTACTATAGTTGGCTTTACCGCTAAACAATGAGTTCACTTCTTCCATAGTATATGTTTTAAGTTTGGAATGAGTTTTTTTTTGTTCTCTAAAACTACAAACTCTTCTCACTAATGTTGCTAATCTATTGTGTTATAATTTAATTCTTCTTTCATTCACTTCTATATTTATAGAGCAATCAAATAGCTTTGCTTGCATCAAGTATAAATAAGGAATTTTTTTTTTTTCTCTAACAATAACCAAAGAACTTTTTGTGATTTTCCATTGACCATAAAAAAAAAAAAAAGTCATAGAAACCTTGATCATCAAACTTTTCAATGGATATTAAGTTCAAATAGAGTCCAGACACATGTTTCATATTCAAAACCAATACAATACCATTACTAGTCTACATACATACATCACAAACACCAACAGTTTTACCCAAGTCAACATAACTCACTCTGATATTCATTTTTCTTTTCTTTTATTTTTTCCATCTTACTTAGGATTTGTACAATACTTCATTATGCACTCATGAATTATATAATTTTAACACTCAATCTTGCTATATCTTTTGGATTTACTTGTATATCCTTTTTTGCCATTTGAATCTCTACCTTTGCTTCCCCGTCCTTTTAGTGATCAAAACCTCTTAACTAAATCTATTGTAATGTTACCATCAGGGACAAAATATGACAAGGATGTCCTAGAGGTTTTACATGAATGCAGAAATATACTGAGAAGTCGTAATCTTTATACTTCATCTTCAAACTTGATATTGACTCCTATCAACTTGTTAATGATGTCTTCAACTTAATTCAAGTGATTAGTCATAGGTGTTTTGGCTCTGTATTCCAAATTCATTAACTGTTTGATTTGGGATAGTTTATTATTCTCTTATTCTTTTGCAGATAATTGCCAACTTTCTCATAATAATTGTGCATATGTTTTCTGCTAACTTGGTTCAATATATTATCATCCACTCACCACCTGATGTAACCATATACTTTTTGATGCATTACATTTTCTTCGGCATCAGTTTTATATCAAGGCTTGATGGCTTTGAATACCAATCGATATAAATATTTCACATAGAAGATTTTTCATCTTTTTATTCCATACATGAGAGTTTGTACTATTGATATTCACCATTCTATAAATATTTATTTTCATATTACACAGAAGAGTGAAAATAGAAACCTTACTCTAATACCACTTTGATGGCATAAACCCACATAGAGCATAAACGTGAATTATTCCTTTATTGGGTGAATTAAATAGAAAATAATTATAATGGAATAATCACATCATAAGAAATAGTACAACCAATCTACAAAGAACATTAGCAACTTTATGTCAAAATTCTCATCACTTTGATGAGTAAAAATCATATGATTAAAGTTGACCACATCTCCGTTATGTTTAAACCAAAAGTTTTTTGATGATCTGAAACATTGATCATAATCTTCACCATTCTGATTGTACTAAATGAAGTTCTAAACAAAATAACAAACTTAGAAAAATCCAACAATTAGATCTTTCGATTCAACATCAAAACTGATATTACTCCAAATAAATTTGGAGAAAAACAAAAAGACTTTGTTCGTGAGTATAACATACACTGTGGTCTTTCAATTCCAGCCTCCACTATTCAAATTGTGTTAAAGAGATATATGAAATTTTTGCATGAATTTAAGGACAATTCAATGGTCGGATATTTGAAAATTATTGTTTAAAGTAATTGTGCTAGAAAGGTGGTAGTGTAGCAGCAACATCAACACTTTGTCTCATAAACCTATTTTTTTCTTATCCATTGAACCTGTAAAAACTTAGGGGTGACTTTTGAGATATAAAAATACCGAAACACCCTTCGTATTAAGGAAAAAAAAATAAACATACTCTAACCGCATTCGTAGGATGAATGTTGATTGGTTTGGTTTCTTTCTTGCATATATATACATACCCTCAATTTTTTCATTTTTAATGTGAGATTTTTGTAGGATTTCAAAGAGAGTTTGAGAAATTTTGAGAAAATTTTCTAGAAAATATATATTAAGAAAAGTCGATGGCCCTTGTATTTTTATTTATTTATTTTTTATTATTATTATTTAATTTTTCCTTTTCAATGAAGAATATTATGCTATGATTGAGGAATTGTTTTAGAAGTTGTACCGAAGTTTTGATTGTGAGAATTATAAAGTATTTGTCCCAAAATACCACCGAGTCCAAATAATAAAAATAACCTTTAAGAGTTTAACAACTACACTGCATCGTATTTATCTACTTTTATTTTAGTTTTATGGATTTACATTTAATTATTATTGTTTTTGGAACTATAACATCAATTATGGTGTTTTAGCATTATGTTGTTAAATAAAATATATATATATATATTAAAACAAATAAAATAAAAAAACAAATTTGTCGAATTAGCCTTCAACCTAGTGGATTCAGCGGGACGGATCTCAGAAACGACCTAAAGCAGAACATGGCAGATCCTAAGCCTAATAGTTTTTAGTGGGGCAGGTCTCAGAGCCCGCAAAACTCATTCCAAACTCGCGCCATTACAATCCCTATATATATTAACTTGCTTATGTTGCAGTTGCCTACCAATCTTATAGTGTGAGAGTAAGAAACCCATAGTTGAGGAACATGACCTGACAATTGAAACCAGAAAATAGGATTGAGAAATTTACCGAATATATCGAAATACCGATTTATCGTACCGTATCGTATTGAAAATATCGAAAATTTTGGTACCACATGGGTATCGTATCGAAGTTTTCGATACAATATCAGTATAAATTTTCGGAAAGTTCAATATTTCAGTATGATTCCGTAAAGATATTACTAAATAATTTAATTATTAATATAAATAATTACTATTAATTATTTTAAAAATCATAACACTGTTGAAAATTTATTGATTTTTTTATAATATTTTTGTGGTGGAGAACGATCATATTTATTAAATTTTTTTAATTATTGTGAAATTTAAAATTACATTTTCAGTATAATCGTTATATATCGTACTGAAATTAAAATTTTCGGTATAAATATTATATACCGGTATCGTACCGAAATTAAAATTTTCGGTATAAATGGTATATACCGGTATTATACAGAAAATTTCGGTATGCCAAAATTCGGTATATTGAAACTTTCGGTACAGTACCGGTATATATTTTCACCATACCGAAAAGTTCAATACAGTATCGATATTGGTCGGTATTTTCGGTACGGTATGGCATGTCATCCCTACCATAAAAGCCAGCAATGTCTATTTGGCTTTTGCATTTCTATTATACTAATCTTATACATTTTTACAATCTCCACTAATAGATTTATTTTTCACACGTACCATTACATTCATCTATTATTTCATTTAAAATACAAAAAATAAAAACTGCGATCAGAAACTCAGAATGCAATGCAATCAATGATGATCAAGAAATCCCTCAATTTTGTTAAAGACAGAACAATAGAAATAAATAAGGATTACTGTTGGGATCAAAACTGTGGTCAGATTAAAAACAATAAACTAGTTGCCTACAAATAAAAATCTATCTATCTATCTATATAACACTCAGAAATGATTTTTATAAAGGCAAAATCCCGAAGAAGATAACTTATTTATTTATTTTGATTTTCTTTTTTTTTTTTGGCAAAAAGTATGGGAGCAAAGTACCTTATGCTTCCAGCTTGATGGCTGCATCAATGGCGTCAACGGTGGAATTCTGCTGTGCCCATAGCTGTGCGTATCTGCCCGGCTTCGATAGCAGAACATCATGGGGCCCTTGTTCCACGATTCGGCCATTCTCCAAAACTACGATCTGCAATCCACAAGGTAGCGATGGAGAAGATCGAAGATTGAGGTAACTAAGGGGGGGGCGTATGTTGTATAGTGTAAAGATTGAACACATACCTCGTCACATTGCATTGCGGTTGTGAGCCTGTGGGCGATGAATATTGAAGTCCGGTTATTTGCCAGGGATTTCAATGCGCTTAAGATCTCTGCTTCAGTTGTGCTATCGAGCGCACTTGTAGCTTCATCGCAGAACCTAAGAACATAAACAAAATAAATGTATGAAGGAAAGGAATCAAATGGATTGGTTTGGTGTAAAACAGGAGAGTCAGAAAATCGAAAATGTACAAAATAGGTGGAGCTTTCAAGAATGTCCGGGCGAGGGCAACTCGTTGCTTTTCACCACCGCTTAACTGCAGCAAGGAAAGAATAAGATCCAATTAATTATGAGATATAAGCACAAGATAGTGAATATATTATATCGAAGCAGCGAGTGTACCTTAAGCCCTCTTTCTCCCACTATGGTTGAATATTTATCGGGGAAGTTCATGATAGTGTCGTGAATGGCTGCCCGGCGTGCAGCATCATATACCTAGGTATTGAAGAAGAAAATCAATTGAAAATTGACGAAGTAAACAATTAGTTTATCTAAATAACGTGGAATTTAACAAGAACCTCGTCTTTTGTGGCAGAAAGGCAACCATAATGAATGTTGTGAAATATGGTATCATTGAACAGCACCTGCCAGAAATATGAATGTTTATCGTCAGAGGAATGTGGAGTCAAGTGGTTCAGAAACAGACACACCTAGAAATTTGATGAACTTACAGTGTCTTGGGGAACAACTCCGATGGATTTCCTAAGGCTCTCAAGTGTTACTGTCCGAATATCTTGGCCATCTATTTTAATCTGTGTAAAAGAAGGATGTCAAGGAATTTAATTAAGAAATGACATAATATCAATTAATCATTTTGCATTTTAATTACTTTCCTAATTTCACATCTCAAGAAATCCCAGCCCCCAGGTGCTAAAAATGACAAATTCCAGAAGAAAGCAAAGAAGCTGTAACACATATAGAAGTAACAGCAACCAAACAAATTCCAAATGAGAAACAAGCTTTTACCCCTATTACATGTGCACTCAAACATGAACGAATTGGAGTCTTACATGTCCAGAATGGGTGTCGAAGAATCTGAAAAGCAATCTTAGAATGGTTGACTTCCCTGTCAAATAAATGTAAAGAAGATGCTATAGTGAAAGTAGAATTTCAAAATAAATAAGAAGTTCAGATAAACTGATAAAAATAAGAAACTATGGAATGACACGTAGACATTTACATTATTATCCTATCTCAAGCCAACCATCACCCGTGGTAGATAACACACATAATATATTTTTTGATGTATGTAGAAATTAATGGGTTCTTAAAGTGGAATTTAACTTGTTAAATAATACAAAACCACAAACAGTATAGTATGGGGAATTTAAAAGGAAGAGAATGCTTAAAGGGTTTGGCTAATGATCAAGCTTATGATCATCTCAAACTTAGGTTATCACAAAGCTGCCACCATAATAAATTTATCCCTTATAAATTACTTTTCTCGTTCAGAAATTAATCAAATGAACAAAATCATAAGGTGAATTATCACTTGAACAATTTTAAAACAGTTTTCAAGTATAACGGCAAGTTTCCAACTTTGTTATTGTTTTTTTGGATCAATTTATTGATGGAGAATAAATTTGCTCACACACATATGAAAATTGTTGCAGTTAATCAGATATATAACTACACCAAATTGTACATTCAAAGAGAAGTAATAAATAAATAAATTACCGCTTCCACTGGTTCCAACAATAGCCACACTTTTTCCAGCTGGCACAACAAAAGATACCCCATCAAGAATCTTCCTCTCTGACAGATAACTGTAAGAAGAACACAGCTTGAGATTCAAAAAGAAGTTGTTATAATATACAGAAGTAATAGATGTTATCCTTATCTAAATATAAAAATAAATTATTCATCAGCTGAAAAATATCGAGCAGAGGGATATATATATATATATATATATAAAAGTTATGTTGACTGCTTGATAGTCTTTCCAAAGGTTAGATCAAGTCTGAACCGATCCCAATGATCTGAAATGCTCCATTTCTATTATATTCAAAAGCTTCTAACACAAAAAAGGGGAAGTTAACCTGAAGTGGACATTCTCAAATTCAATGCTACCGCCGTTTAACTGCAATGGCTTCGCATCATCAGCACTGGTAATTTCTGACTTCACCTGGAGATGAGATTTAGGGCAATGTAACGATTAGCTTGCAAAATATGACAGCAGCAAAATAATGAGATAAAATTTCACAAGTAAAGGTAATGATATTTAATAGATATGTCAATCATTCATAGTCATTTTCCAGGGCCGTCAACTCTCACACAAAGTTGATCTTATTTTGGTGGACTAGGAGTGAATATTGGGAAGAGGAGAAAAAAATTGCACGCAGCGGAAAATAAATATTTAAGTTTAGGGAAGAGGTATCATTGAAGATTCCTAAACTGCTGCTTTTGGGGTTAAATAAGTAAAATCAAAGCATTAACAAGTGGAGAACTCTCCTACCCCAAAAATAAAGAACAAAATTACACAGCAAGATGACATATTTTGACTAATCAAAACACCAAAAGCAGTAATATCCAGAATTTGTAGATACCTCAAGCAATTGGAACATGGACTTCATATCTACCAAGCTTTGAACAGTTTCTCTATATACACTTCCAAGGAAGTTGAGTGGAAGAGACATTTGAAAAAGCAGCCCATTTACCATGACCTACAAGGAAAAGTTTTCAATAAATAATTTACCGAATTATATATATATATATATTATGATAACTAAGTAACTTATAGGATCAGTGTTAGCATAAGCTTGTAGGTTTTACCAAGTCTCCAACAGTCATAGTTCCATTCATGATCCCATTTGAGCACAAAACCATAGCAGATGAGAGAGCTACACTAAATATCAAATTCTGACCAAAATTTAAACCGGCAAGACTTCTTTGAGTTTTTAGAGCAGCTTCTTCATATCCTGAAAATTGCAATCACCATTAAGTAATTTCATACATGCAAAGAATAGTTTAGTAGCACAAGACATATGCATTTAGAATAAATACCTTTTGCACCTAAAGTAGATTAGAATTTTCTATTTCATATCAGTTTCATTATTGACAAATTACTTGGATCTGAAAATTCTTAAAATATCTAGAGCACTTACAATCTTTTTTAACTACTATAGTATTTCTTCCCCAATTAACAACACTCAGAAGTGACATAATAAACTATTGTACATCGGTTCCTCTGTGGAGTCTGTTCCCAACAAGAAATGAGTAACAAGTGTATTTAAGGGGGAAACCACTTACTCTGAAGAAACCCATCATATTTTTCAGCTTCAAAAGCCTCGTTGTTGAAATACTTGACAGTCTGAAAGAGAATAAAGAACAATTGTCATAGTTTGAATTGCAATGATTTGTATTATGGTACGTAGTGCTAAGTTCAATATAATTTTTCCAGAGATTTAACCAACCTCATAATTTATTAAAGAATCAATTGCACGCATGCCAGCATCATCATCAGCTTTATTCATTGCCTTTCTAAATTTGGTTCTCCACTATAATACAATCACATATGAACAGTGTTATAATATAGTAAAATTGCAACAAACTAAAATAAAGAATAAGATGGGGATTACCTGTGCTTGTAATAATATTAGAGAACAGTAGCAATTTAAATTTAACAATATATATATATAAATATAATAAAGTTGAAATACCTGGGTCACAGCCAATGTGAAAGCTATATATGCTGCCATAGACAGGGTTGTAATCAATGCAAATGGTGCTCCAAATTTATAGGCAAGGATACCAGCTACCATGGATATCTAGAATACCATATAATATAAAAACATTAACAATGTACTTGAACACAAAAAATTGAAATATAACACTACTGATAAATTCACAACAGAAATCACAGTAGTATATACAAAATTAACACGGAAACTTAATATATGGTTGCTTCCAGATGACTTTACCTCTAATATGGTAGGTACAACGTTGAAGACCATAGATGAAAGTATAAAATTTATGGCACGGCTACCACGATCAATGATTCGACTAAGAGAACCTGTTTCTCGACTACATATAAAAGATATACAGTCAAGGCAAAGAAAAAAGCTAGCACATAACTAATGAAAAGCTACAGTCAGTGAAATTATGCGATAGCATCAACAGATAATATCAAAAGGCAAACTAATAAAGAGTACTAAAAAGTGCAACTAGCTTCAAAACAGGTAAGTGGCACAAAAAATACCTACAGCAGTCGTGGAGCAACTTAGGAATAAACATTTACTTGTTTAATACTCCCTCTGTCCCACTTTAGTTGTCCACTATTTCTATTTCCGTCTGTTCTACTTTATTTGTCCTTTGCTTTTTAGGGAAAGTGATTATACACTTTGATCACATTTTAAATTTCATAATCAATCATTTTTTTAATCTTAATTAAATTAATTAGTTATCTTAATCTTAATTTATAATTATTTATATTATATAATAATTATTTTTGCTAATGCACTTCTTAATTATTTACTAATTATACTTTACCTAAATTGTCATATCTACATGAAACTGGATATAAAAGGTGGGGACGGAGAGAGTACTTATTTTGAAATACCTGAGATGATATCGTAAGTCAAGCTCATGCAAATGTGAAAAGACCTGCATAAAAAGGTATTTGTAACTGTCTGTTAGACTTATAAACCCAACTTTAAACCATCTGTTAAAATATTGCATACCCAAGGAGACATGTAGCATGTTTTCTGCACATGAAAGTTTTTGTCATTAAACAAATTAATTCGGCGCTTGCTAGATTTTAAATTTATCACATCAATTATCCATTAGCTCCTTAATCCATGGGCAAACCTGCAAATTTTCTAGAGTCACTTCATTGAAGGAAAATGAATTTTTTTATGTGAAAACAAAATGTACAAATCTAGCCACGCATTAGAAAGTACTAATGAAGTTCCACGGGGTAATCAAACCTATGTAAGAAAAAAAAGAGGACTATAGTATACGGTTTCATCTTGCAATATATTTCAATATGGTCTACATATTGATTTTTGCTTCTTGTGCCTCACATATACAAAAATACCTCTATCCTGAAGTTCTTACTCAGATTTGCATATTGGGAGTTGGGATACTGCATTACAAACTAATTTCTAAAGAAGATAGTTCTGTCATCAAAACATCGAAAGTAATAAATAGTGATGTGATGCCATGCTCCCCCAAATGATATTTTAAAAGCGATAAGATAAGAAATTCAAAAATAATTATTTTTCCAGGATTCATTTATAACTCAATCTCAGTCATACTCTAAAGATATCTTTAGTATTAGTGTTTCATTACACTGTGATATCTTTTGTATGTTACCACAATTTTCAGCATCCTCCAGCATATATATTTTCACCAGGTATGCGAATAACCAATACTTCAATTTTCAACTCTTGGTTTTAAAGTTTCACAACCACATTTATATTTTGGGATTCAGAGATGAGTCAAACTCTATTGAAATAGAACATTATTATATAAGCTAAAATAACATAAACCCCCATTAGAAAAATAGAGTCGGAGATTCATCTAACTATGAATAGTATATTGTTCTCAAGTCACCTCTGTCACAAAAAATTCTATTAACTCACGTCACTCGTGTTTTTTATATTTCTTTCTGTTCTAAATATAACTGTATACAACGCTCAACTGCATAATGAGGAAGAGCAACTAGGATATGAGATAAGAATAAGGGTAAGTAACACTGATGAGAAAGATTGGCTAAGGACCGTGCAAGGAACCTACTGTAGTTGAGCAGGTGAAGGCTTATAGTTTGCACAAAAAGGTAGAAAATGCATGCAGCAAGAGAACGAGAACTGCAAGGATCCTGCCCGGTGACTGGAGAAGATATGCGGTAGCAGGATCATAATTCAGAAAGACTGATTCATAGAACCATAAGAAGTTCCTGTTACCCAGCATCTATGTCATTATTAGTATGTATTGTATAAAGCAACCTGAGCTCATAAAACTAGCTGATTAAACAATTTTAGATTCTATAGTCATACACAATTACACATTGTGCATTTTTCACAGGAATATCCGGAACAAAAGAAGTGGCAAACAGCATGGTATTAACAGACTAGAATATCAATAAGCTAATATAAGCCATTTATCACAAACAAAAGAACATAAGCAAAGCAGAGTCTCGTACCTTCCGCGAAACCTGTCGAATCGTTCTCAATGCTACCTTGGAGAATATTGCAGTTCGAAGTTCTATAACAAAAAAGAAAAATAACTACATAACTACACAACATTCTAAAGGCGCTTCTTCAAACTAAACAATAGTAAAAAAACTCCAAACATAATCTCAATGTCCCACAGCTTAGCTTCAATTATTGTAATTCAAGATTAAGACAATACCATTCAGATTCAGTTCGCAGAAGCATACCATTGAAAGCAGATGCCCCTGTTCGTGCTATACCGTATCCAATCAGAACTGCTGCAGGACTGGCGAAAATAGCTAGAGAAGTAGAATTAGCAGCTGTAAACTCAGCAAGAGCACCAGCATTGCCTGTGGCTGTTGATAACCAATCAACAGCAAGCTTAAACAAGAATGGAACCTGGACATTCAACACCTACACACACCCAATCACAGAACACCATATTAATACATATATATATATATATCATCGATAGAACACAGGAAACAAAGTATGTTTCTTTTACTTTGGCGCCAATTAAAAGGCTCAGAGCAGTGAGGACTCGAAGGCGAAACTCAGGGTTATCTTTCATCCAAAGGTATTTAGCCAGAGTTGCCACTATTTTAGCGTCGGGAGCTTTCCCTTCAGCAGCTCCGGCTTTCTTCAACGGCATCGTTTCCTTTTTCTTTAATGCTGAATTCGCCTCTGTCGAAAGTAGCGCATATCCTTTCAGCGGGGAAGCCTGATTGCCAACAATTTGAAGATGAAGATCATTCAAAAAACAAAACCATTATTCATCTAATTGCCACAAAGTGACAATGAAACTGCAGTACTAACAGGATTTTGAGGAGGCTTAGGCGGGAAATCGGAGAGGAAAGCATTGATCTTGACACCACACGGCGACGTCCTAGCGGAATTCCACAACCTGGATTTACTTGAGAGGCTTCTAGCCCCATCGAAAACGGAGCTCCGGTTGCATTGAAGACCGACGAGGCGAGGTGCGTCCGCCACTGATCGGGAAACATGGCCGAAACTGCCGCAGCGAACGGAGGGGCTTATCACCCTCCAGCATCTGGTCGCGAACTCTGTCGCCTGCATCGTTTCAAAGCATTTGGAGAGAATTAGGGGAGGCGGTCAACAATGTCCACCAGGTGTTCGATCAAATGCCTAGCAGAAGACCAGGAATCGAACTTCGTCTTGGTTGCTTGGAATTTCAGTCACGAGAGGAATCCGCAGTTGCGGGCGAATCCAGACCTGTCGCGATTGAATCGATACGAGTTTAGTACGAATTGGAGAGAACAAGCAGAAACCGAACTGCAGGGACATAACAAGAATAATAATAAAACAGACCCATAATAATGATGTACACAAACCAGAAATGTGGACAGATACACTCCAAAATCCTGGCCCAATAAAAATTGGTGTGTGGATATGTTGTATTTTCCTTTCTTTTTCTTTTTTTTTATTAGCTGACTTAAAATTTTCGAATAAAGGTGCGGGGGTTGTTATTTGACTGTACATGAGGCAAAATTATTAATAACATGCTTTTAATTAAAAAAAACGGCCAAAAATATCGCCCCTATATTTGGCCTACCGATGACGCTCTAGGTGTCAATATTTCAACCCTTCATGAGATTTAATGTTTTAACGGTACTCTGCTTCAATAGAATAATCTTGATTACTATTTTTGTCCGTTTTAAAACAATAGTCTTATTTGCATGAATAAATAACCATAGATAAAAATATTTTTATTTTTTATTATTATTACACAATTGTCACTATTTTTTACACTAATATACTCACAGAGGCAAAAAAATCTTTTACCGTACTTTTTATCCACTACCAATATAATATCAATATTGCTTAAATTCCGTGTCAAACACAACCCAAACTATAATTTTGGAACGGAGGAAGTATTAACTTTCAGCTTCGTTTAGCTTTTGTTGATTTAAGATTATAGATTTTTTGATCTACTAGTGAGATTGTGCAAAGGAATGTTAATAAGTTTAAATGTTTTATTACTGAAAGTTGTTAATAGTATATTTAATTCTTAAGTGATTTTTGTGTTTTTTCTTTTAATGTATAATTCTATGAAGGCCAATTTCCGATTACGAAAGAAATTTTATCGTCTAGTAGATTAGACGTTTTAAATATAGAAGATGAGATAAGAAACATTGGTGGTAATAGTACACAAACAGAACATTTGAATAATTGTTCTATCACTTTGAAAGAAACTTCTCAAATTGGAATAGAGTTTAAATAGCAAAAAGATGTGTATGAGTTTTATCTTGCTTATACTAAGAAAATGGGCTTTGACATAAAACGACAAAGTTTCATAAAAATTAAAGTAGGCATATAAGTGATGGATTATTTTCTTGTAATGCTGAAAGTAAACAGAGAAACATAAACGAAATATCTACATGAAAACCTTGCAAGCTATAACAAGATTTGAATTCAAAGCTATGATGAAAAATTTGTTTGAAAGACGGTGTGAATTATCAAGTATTTGAGTTCATGTTAGAACATACTCATCATTTGACCAGTCCTCGTAAAAGTCATTTACATGGATCACATAGAATGATAGATTATGTCCATGCCGCCCAAATTGATATTGTTGAATGTGAGGTATTTGCTCAAAAGCTTCACATGATCTTATGGTTAAGGAAAAAGGTAGCTGAAATGACATTTGGAGTGTATTTGTTTGGGGGATTGAGTTTTAAATTTAAATTTTTTGAGGATTTTGAAGTATAGATTTTTAAGTTGTGTTTGTTTGTATGTTTGAATTTTGTAATGATTATGTTAGAAGAAATTATTATTTTATTAAAAAATAGTATATTGATGTGATAATTTGAAATATATGATATTTAAATATTATTAAAAAAATTATAAATAATAATGGAAAGTGATGTGTTTCATTTTATATTTATAAATTAAATTTAAAATTATTTTTTGAAAAAATATAGCTAAACACATTTTTACTGCACTATTCATTTTTTTTAAAAAAAATATCATATCAAAAATATTTTTTTTCTCACAAAATATCAAATCAAATACTAACTTTTTACTCCTTTTTTTTCAAACTTCCAAATTTTCAAAAATCTCCATAAAAAAAAAAAAAAAAAAAAAAACTTCTATCTAAGCAAACCCTATATTTTTAAAAATTTATTTTATGACATTAGTGTTATTTTATCATGAATTTTTGCAAATTTGTACTATTTCTTATATATATTTTTTAAAATTATCAAATCAAACATTTATTTTTTTTTATTTTCTATATTATGGTAAAAATTAATTTAAAAATTAAAATATCATATTAATAACCATTTATATCGTCTTATACTACTATTTCAACTCAATTTTTTTATTATTATTATTTCAACCCGGATAGAAAATTTCAACCCAAACAAACACACCTTGAATATACATTTTTTATTTTGCATCGGTGGGATGGTGCCTGACAATTTTTGAAAAAAATTAGTTGTAGACTGCGATAAAGGAATGTAAGGTGCAGAATAGGAGAGTATTAGAGATTTTGGATTGAATTGAATCTACAGTAACTGTACAGTGGAAATACATTGGAGACCAAATGAACACACCCTTGATTCATCATGCAAGATTATAAGAATTACTTAGAAACCAAAAGAAGAAGTTGGGAATACCGGAGAAGTGCTAGAATTTGCAGGGGACGTAAAGTAAAGACCCAAATTTTTCTTATTCAATTCAACTAGATGAGGATGGATTGACTACGAATATATCTTGGGTTGATGGAAGAATGAAAAGCGATTATTCTGATTTTCGGTAATATAGTAAATTCTAATACTATATATATATAAAAAAAAAAAGATAGAGAAAATCGTCATTTGGCTTCATTTGTTAGTGTTAATCATCATAAGCGAATAATTTTTTTCAACGCAACATTTTTATATGACAAGATTATTTCATCTTTTAAGTGATTGTTTTGAATTTTTTTTTTTTTCACACAATATATGAGAAAAAGCCTATTACGATTTTGACCGATCAAGATTCTGCGATGGTAAATGCATTGGCTTTGACATGGCCTAAGACTTATCACAAGTTATGTATTTCACACATTTATCAAAAGAGTGCAATACTTTTGTGTTTTATTTTCGGAAACGATAAATAAATTGCAATTATTTAAGTTATTTTTTTGGTTCAATTTTTAGGTTATATATTTGGCACATTTATAAAAATACAGAAAAACACTTGAGTTTAAATTTGTTTGAACACAAAAGAGCTTTGTACATGACTTTTGAAGATGCATATGCGATTTTGACGAAGAAGATGATTTTTTGGTGAGTTGAAATAAAATGTTAGTAAATTATGAATTGATGGAAAATGATTAGTTGAAGTGATTATTTGAAGTTATGGAAAAGTGGGCATTTGTATATGGTTGTTCTTTCTTTTGTGCCTCCGATTCATCAAAATTCATAAAGATTGAGAGCTTCATATATAATTTATTTAAATGCAAATATCAATAAAATTAATCAATCTATTATATTTTTCTAGCATATATTACAGACAAAATTTATAGTGTCCGAAATAGAAGAACATAGCATATATTAAGTTTTTTTTCCTCTACAATAGCAACACATAATTAAAAGAAAAAAAGTCATAATAATACCATGATTTCAAATAACATTCCTATTAGAATATGAAATTAAAATTCTCTTTTCAATCATAAGAATGCATACATAATAAGGCAAGAATCCTGCGAATATCTTAAATAAGACAACTACCATAAATATAATATATTGCTTCTAAATATATTTTAACACCCCTCCTCAAACTCAAGATATGATCGAACAAACTTGAGTTTGTCAGAAGTGACCAAAAAAGATATAGCCGAAATCTTCCACGTATAAATCTGAATTTGCCAAGATTGATGACGTCCACCGGATCAGAGTCAGAAGCAGAACTCTCAACACCGTTAGAGTTGGAAACAGGACTCGCTCGCTCACAACGAAACTAGAGCCGGAAACAGGACTCGCTCACTCTATGGAGCTAGAGACGGAAACAGGACTCGCTCGCTCACAACAGAGCTAGAGTCGGAAACAGGACTCTCTCGCTCTCAATAGAGTTAGAGTCGAAAACATGACTCTCAACAGTATTAGAGTCGAAAGTAGACTCTGTCAGTGGAGTAGTAGAGACAAAGACGACATAAAAATAACACCATGATCGTGGATATAAACAATTACATTAATAAAAATAAAAATATATACGGAATATAACGGGTCATGGAGGTACCCAGAGAGAATTTGGCTCTGATACCATATTAGAATATGAAACTGAAATTCTCTTTTCAATCATAAGAATGCATACATAATAAGGCAAGAATCCTGCGAATATCTTAAATAAGACAACTACCATAAATATAATATATTGCTTCTAAATATATTTTAACAATTCCAAAAGTTTCATTGCAACAACTAACAAAACATATAAATCACAAAAATAAACATGAACAAGATGAAAGCTCTCTTAATTTATTTTTTTTTTATTTCGGCTCTCCAACTTTTTTATTTTCTTTTCCATCATTTTAATTTTTTTTCCCTTTCCCCTTCCAATTCATTCCGTAGTTGTAATAATTCGAGCATCTCTCCGTTGTCATTTTCCCAATTGAAAAGATCACAGTCACCGGGAGTACGAGCATTTGCGCATCACAAAAATTCTCTCTGGATTCTGTTCGTTTCTCAAAGTCAATTTTTGCATTGAAGTGCCGCAGGAACAAACCTCAGCCGAATTAAAAGAACCGGTAGATGAAGATGCCACACTTTCTTTTCAAATGTACAAGTGAGAAGATTATTGTAAAAAAAATATATAATCGTTAAAAACAAGCAAAAATTTTATACCAATATATAAAGTCAAATCCAAAATAACATAAAAACACAACAAATTTACCGTATATAAATCTTTCAAATTAGGTTGGAAATTTTTCATAATCTCTGCATATATTTTTTAATCTCAACTAAACATATCATATGTATATGTATAAAAAAATAAAAGGATTAAACAAAAATCTTTCTGCATTAACAACCAACCCAACCTTAAACCTAAATATTTTAACTTTAGTTGGATATTATCAAAAATGGCAAATACCAGTTTTGAAAGTATATACTCTTAAAATTACCAAAAGGTTTGGACAATAACATTAGGAATTTATATTCATTCACCCAAGAAACAAGTGAAATAAAATTACATGTCATCCACTTTTAAGCAAGCTCACTATTATTGATTCATCCTCTTGAATCTACTAATTGACAAAAAACAAAAAAATAAAAAAATCCAATAAACCAAAAATCAACTATGTAACTAATTTTTAAGAAAGCCAAAAAAGATAAAATTACACAAAACAAAAATCTACTCAAAAAATAAGCAACAACATACTCGAAGCTGACCAATAGTAAGGATGACGACGACGGAGTTCTCGCTGGAATTTTGCAGGATAAATTAGTAAAAATTAAAAAAAGGAAAGCACAAACAAACAAAACAAAATACGATGAAGAAGAGTACCAATGGAGACGACGACAAGAAGATGAAGGTTGGAGGCACCGACAAGGAGGAGCACCGAACCGCTGGAGATCTAGGTTGGAAGAGCAATTTTTTTTACTCCCTCCGTCCCGGTGCAAGGTTGTCGTTTACTTTTTGCACGTAGATTTTTTAATATTAGTATTATAATGAGTTGTAGTGAAAAGACAAAAATGTCCGTGCAATATAAAAGTAATAATATTTGTGTAATATAGTGTAAGTTGGAAGTGTATTTATTATGTTAAGTAGATAGTACCATTACTAAATTAGGAAATGGTAACCTTGTTTTGGGACAAATGAAAATAGAAAATGACGATCTTTCAACGAGACAGAGGGAATATTATTTTTTTTAAGCACTTGATCTGTTTTGAAAATAAGTGGAGAGGATGGGAGAAGAAAAATACCGAGCGTGACTATATGACCCACAACACCATACTAAGTAGATGTTCTAGTACTTTTTATAATGTATGTTATAAAATAAAAAGAGTCAAAACGTAGGATTAAGAATGGATAAATCTAATGAAAATATCAAAATATTGATTTACTGTACAGTATCATATAGAAAATACCGAAAAATTCGATATACCAAAATTTCCATAGTATCGGTACCGTACTGTAAATTTTGGTACGATATCAGTATGAATTTTAGAGAAATTAAATATTTCGGTATTATACCGTACCTATAATATTTTAATTAAATAATTTAATTATTAATATAAATAATTAATTTTATATAAAAAAAAACAAAACCTAACACACCTCACAAATACAAACAGAAATAACAAAAAAAAACTCTAATTCTTCTCTCTTGTATTTTAATTTTCTTTTTTTTTTTCAACTTTTTGCCCTATTTCTTCTTCTTCTTTTTTCTCTCTCATTCCTTCTTCTTTCTTTAAATTCTTAGCCTTTTTTTTATCCATCATTCCTTCTTCTTTCTTCAAATTCTTGGCCTCAATTCGATTCTTCTTCTTCTTCTTCATTTTTACTTCTTCTTTCAACTTCTTCGCCCGGTTCTTCTTCTTCTCCATTTTTACTTCTTCTTTCGACTTCTTCGCCTACTTCTATTATTCTTCTCTATAGTATTCTACTTGCTTGTGGTGGTCATTGCCATAATTTTATTAATTATATCTTAATAAATAATAACTATTTATTTCGTATTTAATTCACTCTTACTTTAAAATGTAGTAGTAATTTTTTTTTAATTTTAAAATGACATAATTAAATAAACTTCATGATCCATTACAAAAAAATCTCAAGAGTACACAAAGCACTGTTTTTCGCGTACAAACGCTAAGGGTATTATAGTCATTCCACTCAACTATACAAACTTACCTATTTCAGTGCTCTTCTCTTATCTTCTTTCTGGACCATATAATTACATAATCCATTGCTTTCATTCTCACTCTTTTCCTCCTAATGGCACACAATATTCTTCTTCATCATCATCATCATCTTCTTTTTCATCATCATCATCATCATCTTCTTCTTCTTCTTCTTCTTCTTCTTCTTCCTTTGCAGATTGGCAGCCATGGCAGCAGCCTGTATAATTCAAACCCCATTTCTCCCTTCTTCCCTCAGCCACACCCAAACACAGCTCCATTCTCACTCCTCCATTGCAATGCCAAGAGGAGTAAGAAGAAGAAGAACATCATCAACACCACATGATCAGAGGGGTAGTCTAACCAAGTGCAATATCAGCCTAGGCGACTTCATCGGAGGGGACCTGGTCCGGTTCGATCTCGGCCAGTGGCTGTCCGACGTCGAGGAGCACAAGGCCCTTGCTATATACCCCCCGCACGAAGGCGGGTACGAGGGCCGCTACCTCAACAGGCTTATCTACAAGGGGTACCACTTCTTGGACCTGTCCGCGCGCGGATTGGGCGATCCCGAGACCACCCTCACCAAGTTCCATCCTGTTTGCCCTGTACGTTGAGCTTTCGTTCATCGCCGGGCGTCGAAACGTCCTTTTTAACATATCATTTATGAATCCTTTTCAGGCTCATGTCGGGAAGCAGCCTATCGCGAGATGGTACTTTCCTCCGGAAGTGGATTACCGGCTCTCGTTGCTCCCTCCCAACGCCAAAGGGCTCGTGGTTTGGATCATTGAAGCCAAGGTTTGGTTGTTGTCTCGATGATTCGTTGTCTGGGGATTTTTCGGAGACTTGATGTTGCATGTGCAGGTTTTGTCGAAGGCTGAGCTGCAGTTTCTTGCTATATTGCCGACGTTGAGGCCGAGAGTCAGAGTTATTGCAGAATGCGGCAACTGGTAAGGATTGCAGCGATGTCCATTTGTACCTGGAAAAATTTGTTTAGTAACTTCAGTTTCATCTGCAGGAGAAAGTTCATGTGGAAGCCATTGAAAGAAATTGCAGAATTACCAGCAACGGGAAGCGCATAGATGTTCACCAAGGTGAATGAGAAAACGGAGGATAAACATCATTGCAGTAACTCTATTTGTGTATAAACTGGATTTCATCGATGCAACAAAATACTCCCTCCGTCCACTTGTAAAGTTTACATTTATTTTTTGCGTGTTAATATTTGAATATGAATTATTATATGAAAATGTAGTACAAATCAAGAAAAAATGGCAAAAATATTTCTATTAGTGTCTTATAATACTAATAAAATGACGTTTATACAAAAAAAATTATTCAAATATAAAAATATTTTTAGTGTTAAATACAATGACGTAAAAGGTAAATGTAAACTTATTAAGTGGACGGAGGAGTATTACTTAAATGATGAGCTAGCAAATAGAACAAGTGTCGCGAGCGATGATCATTTCAAACATATAAATCCGAAACCAGCATGTCTTATATTCTACTAAATTCGACAGAACTCATTATAAAGGATGTCTCAGGCAATTAGAAGGTAAGAGTTGTGATGTTACCATGTCTCGAAGGCTGAGGAAAGAATTTAGACAGACGGGTGTAAAATCAAGATCAATAAGCTGTTTTCGGAAGCGCAACTTATATATGAATCCAACAGCTGCAACATGCGATCAACAAACGCATAAAAATTAATCGTATAGAAAGAATTAAAATCTGATACACGAGCCATTTACACCACAGATCAATATACTTCCACTTTTGATTCAGTATATTTACATCATAGTTCATCTAGCATAGTAGCATACTTACACTACGATTCAGTATATTTATACTCAATAATTTAAAACGGTTCTTACGTAGTTCAACAAATCTTTTTATCCCGTTTAACAGTACAGTTCAGAAATAAATTCAGCACAAAATCTACCTCCTTACATCAACTTCGTTAAGTAGATCCACATGTTTGTCCATAAAAAAATATACATCTTTTATCCAAGTACATACCTATAAAATAAAACCAAACTTTATCTTTGAAGTCAGAAACTAAAGTTAATCTCCCGTAGCCTCCAAGCCTTGTAAATGAAAGTTCCTTCTTAGGCATCCATGGATATATCAATTCAATAATGTTATATACACTCTTAAAGGGACCGACCGTCCATTATTTGCTTCAGTTCAAGCTCAACTATGATGCATTTACAATTATTACGAGCCAAACTGTTCATATCAATCCATGCTAGTGCAAGCAGCTCCAAGGAAACGTACAGTCGTAAGATTTTCTAGACAGTGTTGTAATGTAGTAGAAGGTTCTAATAAGGAAAAGTGTCGGTACCGGCTGATTGTGCACGGATGAACATCCACTGAATACCTTTTGTTTATGCACAACTTGGATCTCTGAACATATGTACTCGAATCGCTACGCGATGATGCTGCCATAACAAAACACAATTTCTTGGTTAAATCCTGTATATCACAGCAAATTAATCGATATAAAGAAGAATAACCAGGTTGTTACCAAACAAATTTTTAAAAAGCGAAAAAAGACGAGAAAACCTGTCCTCTTGAACTCTTTACAGTTTAAAAAACACAATTAACACACAAAATTTCTCTCAACAGCCCGTAAAGCCAATTCATTTTCCTCTTCAACTTAATACTTCCTCGCGATCTTCTCACATGTCCATATATATATCCATGAATGTTTATCTCACCACAACAGCAGATCAAAGGAGAGCTTTCCAAATATTCAAAGAAACTCGAGAGCAGCACAAAAATGGACGATAAAATCATTACAAACAGGCAGCAGATGAAAGAAACATTAGAACATCTTTCAATTAACAAATGTTATTTTAACTCCACGGATAAAATTGCCTAACCAAGTTAACGTAAAATTGCCAACAATCCCTTGAAAGCACATAGCATACGGTAGTGTTTCAGATGTATTTATAAGCTACAAATTACGTTACTTAAATGGGACAACCTTGTCATCTCTTATATGGCTTGAGGTGAAACTCCTTAAATTCGGAACCAAAAGTTATCGATTCTTCCTCAAGTTTCTGTTTCAATCTTCTCCAAGTCCTCAGCATATCTGCTTGAATCAAACCACGATACAATGTCTCAAAAGTGATCTTCTGTGGAAGAAACCCCTTCTCAATCATCTCCACGAAAAACTGGCACGCCTGTCTCCATTTCCTTCTCTCACACAATCCATGAACCAACATGGTGTAAGCATCTAAATCAGGCCCGATCCCACTAGCAAGCATATCCTCCCAAATCTCCCATACAAGACTCATTTTACCTAATTGCATCGACATTCCTAGCAATATATTATACGTATGCATATCTGGCGAAAGCAAAGAATCATCCTCCTTCATCCTCGTATACAATTTCATTGCACCCTCCACATCCTTCCTCCCGCGATACTCTTTGAAAAAGCAATTGTACGTTTCTGCCGGGGGACTAATCCCATTTTGCACCATCTCATCTAACAACTCTGCGGCATCATCCATCCTCCCACAAGAACAAAGACACTTCACAACTGAAGTATACGTCGCCACTGTTGGACAAATCCCATTTTCTTTCATCATCGCCAATTTGTCCAAGCACAACTGAGGCTTGTGTGCCCTGCTGTAGACATGAAGCACAATCGAATAACTCGTCACATCGGGTTCCAACCCCCGGCTGCGCATCTGTTCGAACAACTTCTCTGCTTCCCTGATCACCCTCTCAAACCTTCCTTCTGGATGCAAACTAGATCGTCGACAAACACCATTCAATAGCACATTGTATGTAACCACATTCGGCTCGATTATCCTCTCCATCATCTCACTCAGAAACTTCTTTCCCATGTCAATCCTCCCCACTTTGCACCATCCATAGATCAAAACAGTATACAGCTTAGCATCAGCTTCTAGTCTATACTTCTCCTTGTTGAATACTTCCATGGCCACCTTAACATATCCGTATTTACAGAGAGTGTCCATTAGATAGCAGAAAAGGAAACTGAACTGTGGCTCGAAGATGTCATTGCCGAGGAAAGCGCTCATGTCGTAGAACGTACGAATTGCGGTCCTCGTCAAGCCGGCGGAGATCAGCCGCCTGATCAGGACGAAGAAAGTCGTGAAATCGGAATTGCTGCCATTTGTGTCCATCTGCTGTATCATCTGCCACGCGACGTCGAATTGGCGAACTTTGCACAAAATATCGATGATGATATTGAACGCCGCCGTGTCGAGGAGCGGAGAGCGATCGGGAGGGTGGTGCGACTGGGCGTACTTGAAGAAGGCGAGGGCGATCTTGGAATGGTGGCTCAGACGGTGGAGGGTTTGGTGGATTAACTCCGAGGACAGAGAGACGCCGCTGAGCTGGAGAGAAGACTCCATGTGATGGTACGGGTTGTGGTGCCGTATCAGGATTTGCGAGAGTGAGTCCGCCGGTGGCGAGGGGTGCCGCGGCGGGAGAGAAGGTTTCCTGATTGGGACGGATGGTGAAGGAGACGGATTCTGATCTTCCAAGTCCGAGAAACTGTAGAAGAGCCGCCGCAGGTGAGGCGGTTTTGCTTCGACGACACGGCGGCGGAGGACGTTAGCTAACGCTGCCATTTGCCGCCGGAAGTGGTTGTCAGTCGTCACCGCCATGGCTGCGGCAAACAAATGAGGAAAACCTAAAGCCTAAAACCCACACCCGAACCCGAACCCGCACCCGGATCCGAACCCAAATCAGATACGGGTTATTAATAATTAATTTTATTTTTTTTTAATGAAAAAAAATTACAAACCCTAGCCGTACCATCTTCTATATAAAGCGCATTACCATCTGCTGCTCAAACCTTAGTGCAGCTGCGGCGACAACAATGGGTGAGTGCCTTCTCCTTTCGTCGGCAAAACCCTAAGATCTGTTCTTGTCGATTTTGTTGTTGCTAATTGATTTGGTTTCGTTATTGTTGATCGTTTCGTTATCGCAGGTGCCTACACGTATGTATCGGAGCTATGGAAGAAGAAGCAGTCCGATGTGATGCGGTTCCTGCTTAGGGTTAGGTGCTGGGAGTACCGTCAGCTCCCCGCCGTTGTGCGCGTCACCCACCCTACTCGTCCCGACAAGGCCCGTCGTCTCGGCTACAAGGCCAAGCAGGTGTGTGTATGGACTGCGACTATTGATTCCGCTGTCTTTGGTTTGTTTTACAGAATTTGTTGATGGCGTGATTTCTCTAGATTTGAGTTAGCCTTGGTGTTTATAATTGGTGAAATTGTTCTACTACTCTGTTTACTAGATTTTGCGTCTGTATCTATTTGAATCGACTGATCTTTGTGATTTGAGTTTCTTTTACATTAAATCGTTGTTGGTTTCAATATCCAATTATTGATCTGGAGTGCATAGAATATGGTTTTGGTGAAGTGGGGTGTGATGTTATATTGTTTTAATTACGGTCATCTTGTGTGTTATATATGAACGATTGAGTACCAATTCATTCTCTTCTTTCCATGAACATCAAGGAACAATTTTCTGTCATCTTTCTTGAATCAGTCAAATGGAAATCAATCTTTTATACGATTATGTCTCATGATTATGATTTGAACATTAATTTTCTTGAGATCTTTTTCTAACAATCCAGGGGTATATGTGTTGTGCTTTGCGGTGTATATTTCCATGCGGATGAACTTTTTTTTTTTTTTTTCTAGTATAACTACCATCATGAGATTGATCCCTAACTATGTAAAATATATGCCAATGCTGCGGTATCGGTAGCTTCATATCTTTTTACTATGTTTATATACACTATTCTTGGCTGGTTGTTGTGGCAGTTTTTCATAGATTTTTCTGTTTTCATCTTGATAATCTATCTTCTGTTCCAGGGGTACGTTGTTTACCGTGTCCGTGTTAGACGTGGTGGAAGGAAGAGGCCAGTTCCCAAGGGCATTGTGTATGGTAAGCCCACCAACCAGGGTGTCACTCAGCTGAAATTCCAGCGCAGCAAGAGGTCTGTGGCAGAGGAACGTGCTGGAAGGAAACTTGGAGGTCTTAGGGTTCTGAATTCTTACTGGATCAATGAGGTTTGCATTTAAATGTCTTTATACTATCATCCCTTAAGTTCTCATTAACTAATATCTCGAAAAGAATTGGACTTTGCACACTCAGTACTTCAAATCATTTCGTTGATCCACCAATCAATTTAAACTCTTTTCAGGATTCAACCTACAAATATTTTGAAGTGATACTGGTCGACCCGGCCCATACTACCATTCGCAACGATCCGAGGATCAACTGGCTTTGCAACCCTGTTCACAAACACAGGGAGCTCCGAGGTCTTACCTCTGCTGGGAAGAAGTACAGGGGTCTCAGGGGAAGGGGCCACCTGCACCACAAGGCTCGCCCCTCTCGGAGGGCCACCTGGAAGAGGAACCAAATGCTCTCCCTTCGTCGCTATCGCTGATCTTCCAGAAGTTCTTGGAGGTTATATCTATTTTCATTACAAATTCAAATCTTGTTTGCGCTTGTTTGTAGGAATTTTGGAGCACTTGGGGAGAAGTTTACATTTATCTGTCGAACTTGGGTTTTAAATATTTCTGGATATGGATATTGAAATGTGCTCTGCTTTTTTGCATCATGAAAACCTTATTATCTTTTCTGGATATCTATTTTTTTGTTAGATGAATGTGGCTCAGGTTGGTATTGCTTTGGATTATTATGTCAGTGTGTTTCCTTTGGGTTTTATTAGGTTTGAGTTTACAAAAATAGTTCCTTTGGGCATGGACGAAGATAAAAGTTATATCATCTCTCCGTCTCAAAAGTATAGTCTTATTGATATTATATAGGTAGTTGGTAAAAAAATAAGGACAAATGACTTTTTTGCCTTTGTGAATATATTAGTATAAAAAGTAGTGGCAATTGTGTAATAATAATGAAAATGTAAGAATGATTTTACGGTGATATGGTTATTTATGAAAATGAGATTATTGTTTTGGGACGAACAAAAATGGTAAATAAGATTATTGACGGATAGAGTATATTTTATTGAAAAGTAAAAAATATAATCAAGTTATTTTTGAAAATTTAGTTAATTTAAAAAAAAAAAAAGATAGAAAAGATGTGTCTATTTCTTTTGAAGAATTTTAAGTTTTATACTAGGATTTTGTATTCGATGAATAAAATATGCTTTTGTTCATCACAATTGATGCTTATTTTTATTTTTGTAACAATCGGTAAAAATGATTAAATCAAAACATATTTAATAAATATAAATTAATTTAATTAATTACGTAATATACAACATCATGAATGACTATTTATTCTCTCGCTTCAAAAAAATAAATATTTTTATCTATATTTAAGATTATATATTTTTTATAAAATTAAGCTATGTTAATTATAAATAAACAAAAATATTATTTGTATTTTTTAATTGCTATATAATTTTTAAATATTTAAATATATATTTTAATTTTTTTAATTATACATTAAATTTACTTTAAAAATATAAATATTATTAATTATAAAAAAATAACATTATAATTAATTATTATTAATTAATTAAACGTTATCATCTTAAATTACCGGAGAGTATTTTTTAAACATTTTATCAAATATTATTATTTAAATTTTAAATTCAAACCAATAAAAAAAATACACCAATAGTTGACAAACGAAGTATTTTAATATAATACTATATTTTTTAAAAAAAAAAATAGAAAAAAATTAATTTTAATTAAATTAATTAGTTATCTTAATTTATAATTAATTATATTATAAAATAATTATTTTTATTAATATATTTTTAATTATCTATTAATTATATTTTTGAACATTCGTGAGACGGAGTAGTCTCAGTTTTGATTAAATAAAAAAAATTATCATTTTAATTTCATTGTAAATAATTTAAAAATTGTAGTTACATTATTTACGTGGATGTAATGGAATGGATGTGACTGTGGCTGTTATACTTAAAATTTCACTATTTTGACATATAGTTTTTAAAAATATATATGTTAAATTTATAATAATTTATATAATTAAAATTTAAAAAAAAAATCAACACTAATCTCAATATAATGATAATATATCAATTTTGATTTTAGCATTAAAAGAAAAAAAAAATTGAAAGATTTTACCAAAAATTATAGTATTATTTATATCTAAACTTTTCCTCTACGTCAATATATTTTTGTGTTAATATTATAAAATTATGATGATATGGATATGTTTACAAAATACTATACGATGTGATTCTATTATTTTTATTCATTTTTCAAATGTTAATTTGCAACGAAAGTGGCAGGGACTATTTGGTAATAGTATTAATCTATATAATTTTTTAGACTATGATAGTAATTTATTTCCAAGCAATGCATAAAATTTCAATATTTTCCTCTTGGCACATTAATCCCTCTCTAGTTAAATACTCCATCGGTCCGTGACAATAGCCATCTTCGACGCCTCAGGTCCATCTACTATACATGGTTCGTCTAGTGTGATTTTTTCATTAGGCCTGGTTTGCAGAATATTAAGTTCGGCCGGGGGTTTACTCAGTGTGCATTTTCGAGTAGCAGTTGCGGATTCTCACATTATCCAATAAATAAATAAATATTTTTTTCTATTAAATGCCTTAGCGTCTGACACGAGGGACTTTCTTCGTCCTTCGAAAATTATAGTTTTACGCAGTGACCTACGTTCCGACGTCAAAAGTATGGAAGGCTTGGAAGATGGCTTTGTGTAGACGACGGTACTTGAAGGGTACTTTTTCTCCGTCTCTCTCATTTTTCATTGGCGCCAAAAAATTTCTCTCTCATTCTCTCCCTCATCTTTCGCCCCGTGAAAGCTTTTCTCTCTTCCCCTATCTTCCGTCCACCTCAAGATGGGTGGAATGAGCTATTGTGAGGTTTTTTATAGGGATGTCAATTCGTGTTTTTGGGTTGTGTTCGTGTTGGGTTGAGCCATGGAGATAACAAAAAAACTGTCAACTCGAATCCGACTCGAACTTTGACCTGAAACCCTAGATCCGAACACGACACGAATTCTTTCAGGTCGGGTTCAGGTTGACTTGAATTAATTTTAAGTCACTCGAAATCCGAACAAATCCGACACGAAACAGACCCGAAGATTTTTTTTAAAAAAAAAATTGACCTAAAAAATATCATTTTTATTTTTATTTTTATATTATTTTATATTTAATATATAAATATTATAAATTAAAATAATAATAATAAAAATTTCAGGTCAACCCTAAACACAAATCCAAAACCTAACCTAATTTTGATATTAATTTTTTTCTTTTCAAATTCGGATCGACCCGATTTTTTTAAAACCCGAAATATCCAAACCTGAACCTAAAAAATTTCAAGTCGAAAATGTTCAGTTTTTCGGATCAGGTTTACTTTTGGCACCCCTAGTTTTTCTCATATGTTATTTTTCTATCCATCCACCTTTAAAAATAAGGTTTGACACCCCTTACTTTTCGATGTTTTTTCCTTTTTTTTTTTTTTTTTCTAAAAGATCACTGTTTTTGCTCTGAGCAAGTTGGCCATCGATAGCCTAGCCACCAATATGACACAACAATAAGGTGGGGAGTTTGCGACGGAGGCGGATTCAAAGAGAATAGCCGCACAAAATAACTTCAGACAGCTGAGCCGGGGCGGATGTGATGAACTAGCGCTCAATCGTCACGGCAACATTGACATTTCGATGCAAGACCAAATCTGCGCAGGATAGCATCCACAGGGATCCATAAGAAAACTGACATAATTGGCACCGAGAGGCACAACCACAGTCGGCCTTTAGAAGATGTTTGGTAAATAGTTTTTTTCAAAAGCACTTAACTTATTGAAAAGTTTTTAGCTGACTAGCAAATCAACTAATTTTGTTGTTTGATAAATTAATGTTTTTAATTAACTTATTGAGTCCAAAAAAACTAATTTTGAAAAAGTTAGTATATCCAGCCCCAACGTTTCATATTAGCTCTTTATTTTAATTTTTTAATTAGTTGTAAAGTGGAGACCACGATTACTAAAAAAAAAAAAAAAAGCAATTGTTTTGAAACTGACGGAAATGAAAAAATAAGACAATTTTTTTGAGACGGATGTAGTATATATTTTTCACAAAATATTTTAACAATAATAAAAATAAATATCTTAATAAAGATTTCCTAATTTTTAAAATTAATAATAAAATTCTAAAAAAATCTACCAATCGAAAAAATTCAACTAAATATTTTAAAACTAAAAATGTAAAATGTCTTTAATTGTCCGTAAAACAACTAATATATAAGTGTTATTTTACGAAATACTTGAGAATCGAATAAGCTAACACTTAAAAACTAAAAGCTAATGGTCAAACACTCCCTTACTCTTTGCTCAGTTATTTATTACTTATTTTAATCCCTTAATCTTTGCTCCGTTATTTGTTACTTATTTTAATTTAGCATTAAAATATTATTATTTTTTTATTTACGTGTGTAACTAAAGTTACACGATTCTCCTGGAGAGAGGGTATATAGCCTGTTATTAGGTGAATCTCACCATAAATGTCTACACCAATTAATTCATATAGAGAAAAATTTAAGAAAAATTATTTGATTATCAATTATTTATTGGAGGTAGTTGAAACTTGTTAACAAAGTTATAAAAAAATGATCTGCTTTCTTCATTTTGTATTTTTGAATAAATATATTTTTTATGTTAAAATTATAAACTGTGTTGATAATATAAAAAATAATATTTTTTATATTGAATTATTACTTTTTATGAGTAAGTTTATATTATATATATGAAATTAATACATATATATATATATTGTATTTTTTAATAAAATTTATGAAAAATCGTTCTACATAAATCTACTATATGAACAAACCCAATATATAAGGTGAGATGACATTGACATAATAGCCCTCCATCTCTTACCAGTTTATCTATTTTTCTATTTTGATCAGTCCTATAACAAAGTATCCCTTTCAATTTACAATATATTACACAAATGTTATTATCTTAATATCATACAATACTAATAAAGTTAGTTTTGTCACTTTACCTTTATTTCGACTGCAACATAATATAATACTAATATTTCCAAAAAGCAAATGAATATATAGACATGGATGGAGGAGTATATCAATGCATAATGATTAAGTTGAAACCATCAACATATATCCGATGATCATTTCAAATTCCTAACATAAACTATAATATAACTAAAGAGTTGTTTGCAGTTGTTCTAAATCTTAGAAAGTTTGAGCACCATAGTCTACTAGTAAAGAGTGGATGAGCCATTTGAGTGTATATACTACTACTATATATGAGTAAGACCCTTGAGAGTGTATATAATTTGTACAATTTGTATCTAAGTGTGTAGTGCCTATTGATGCATGTTATAAACAAGTGTGAGTTTACTATCCTAAACATGAAAAGCTTCAAGTACCAAATTACTTTCATTCAAAAATGTAATGTTCTGTGGTCACAAAGAAAACAAACACTGCTCTACACTCACAAGTTAATTTGCAAGGAAGGGCCAAAGAAAGGAAACCGACTTACAAGTGATTCCGGAGATAAGATAAATACAAGCTGATACCTGAGGATTCGATGCTTCCATTTACCGTATAGATACACAACCTAGCTCAAGAGCCCGAAACTCCTCAGTCACAGGTCCGGGTTGACTCCATTGCTTGCAAAAAAATGAAAATTGTATTGTGAGTAAGCATTGGGCATATTCTGGTCGAATAGTGCCTGATCCGATGACTAGAACAAGAACTTACTGTCGCAATGTTCACACATTAATTGCCTCTTTAGTAGGGTCTTCGGAAACTTCTTCATCACGGTTGACACTGGTCTGATGGAGTCTCTGTTCCCGGGATTTCCTCCTGTTTGATTCAAGAATAATGAGGAGGGCTGTTATGTCAGCAGGGCTCACTCCACCGACCCTACTTGCTTGCCCGATTGTTTGTGGCCTTACCTGTAGGAATAAGGATTTTTGTAAGTCTATGTAATGATCATAAAATAATTCAACGGTGTGGATTTAGGGAACTCGCGAAAAGGGATATTGGATCATTGGAAATGGAGGATTTTGGTCAGCCTATTGTATTGGTTCTAGATACATTCATAGACTCATATCGTTGTGGCAAATGATAGCATCGGCAAACCAGATCAGCGTACCTTTGACAACTTTTCACGAGCTTCATGCGACAAGGTTGTCATTGCATAATAATCAAGATCCTCTGGAATGCGTCGGTGCTGTTGGTGAGCCATCTGTACACAAATGACAGCAGGCCATAATCGAAACTTGTAGGTGTCAAATGATAATATGCAAGAATCAGCCAGATCATAAATTGGTTGATAGAACAACAGGTTGTGACAAAATATCTTTTTAGTACAAATTTACAAAAATCACTTAAAATGGTGGAGATTGGAATCCCATATTGGAGCAGGCAATAAGCACTTATGCCATGAATTCATACCTGCTGGAGTTGGTTCTGCTGCCGTATGATAAAGCCCTCATACTTGATATCTATCTCGACGCATTCCTTCTCTACTCTAGATAGTGAATCATTTCCATATCCATGTTTGTCAAAAACTTTGTATGGCACATGTGGCTTCTTTAGGAGGCTTTCTAACGTTGATGAATCCTTCACGGGTTGCCCAGAAAGCTCACTAACTTCAGTGGCTAGATCTCCTCCTGAAGCAAACACAGGGAGGAGTAAATTCGGGGCTATTTTGGTAAGGAGAAGATCTCCTTTATAAAAAAAATTAAGTTCACCATCAATTTTGATAAAGATCCCTTTTTTCCCTCTCTTCTTAATGATCTTAGTTCTTCTAAACGATTACTGCCATCCACTTTAAACAACATACAACTGCAGCATCTATACAACGAACATACTAAATTGTTGGATATGTGAATTGTTCATCAGATGCTCTTTAGATGCATCAAATTGAGTCCATAGATTAAGTTCACAGCATAGTCACAGCACTGCACCATACATATTTCCTTTTTTTCCCATTTCTTTTTGTCTATCACTGTATACACTTCAAGTCATATGAAGAATCCATTTTTTTACATAAACAATAAATAAAATCCTACCACTTAAGTCACCTATATGTGGATTTAGCTAATTGAGATATCATTCGGATTTCCCAATTCTGTGTATTTAGAAGTAAAACTTGATTAAAAGATGCTTTATTATACCTAAAATACTATATAATTTTTTATACTAAACAAGATTTTTTAAATAAAAAGGTAAGAACTTGTATACTTCTGATGAATAATGGAGTAATTCACGCCATTCTGACTTATTGAAAAAACCCAAGTCATATTTCTCACTGAATGCTGGCATGAACAAAAATAACAAAACTCGTAAGTTTTAAATGACAATAAAAATAAACCTGAAACCCTGACTATCTTCAGTCGTTTTTTTTCTTCAGCAATTCGAGCCTGCTTCTCCAGATAAATAGTCCAACAATAGTCATCAATCAATCCAATTTCACGTCCTAGAGGTGTGAGTCGGCTGTCAGCATTATCAGATCGGAGAAGCAGACGATGTTCAGAGCGACTGAAATAAGAAAGCAAGCATATTACTGATAGAAAGCTATTATAAGAAGGAGAAGTATGAAAGTTAATATAGGGTTGGCGTCATATGCAAACCACAAACCCTGAAAGAGGTATTATTAATGCATAATATGAAAACATTACGAAAAAATAAAAAAAATAAATTGAACAATAGCTAGTCTTCTGCAATAGTCATTCCCAATAATGTGGAAATTGAACAGCCACATGTATAAGATGCATATTCATTACAAAAAAAGAAAAACATTTGTGCAGCCTTCATCTAATAGATATTTTTCGGCTTTGCTTTGTTTTTGAGAGTGGAGATACTGGATTAGCATAATCAGACAATCTCAATGAACACCAGAAAAGTGTTCATCACTACTGGAAGAACTGGCAGCTGCAGCAGTGCCGTCCAGTTCTGGCAGCTGATGGGCTGGTAGCGGTCCAATGGTAACGGGTAAATTTGTATCCACACTTGTAGAAAGTATGAACCTATATATTACGCGGGTTGTATTTGACTTAACCTAATCTTCCATCAGTCCTACACATTCTATTATCTTCATCTTGTGTTCGGTTACTTTCAATTAATGGTGAGTCAGCCCTATGGTTTAATAGGGTCATTAGGGTTAGAATTCTTTCAACTTTTGTCCCGTAGGCGTGCTTTCTCTCGGTTAGAATTAATGTGATTTTTAGGGTTAATCTAAAGCTAATCGATGAAGCACAACGCACAAAGACTAAAATGCAAGTTGACGCACAAGCACTTGGAGATTGATTTACCTAGTTAGCATGCGATAAGGCTCTCGGAGGTCCTTTGTCACCAGATCATCAATCAAAGTGCCAATGTAACTGCTTTCCCTCTCCAGAACAATTAAAGATTTACCATCTGCATGCCTTGCAGCATTTATTCCAGAAACAATTCCCTGAAAATAGAGATATTATCATATAATATGTGTCCCGAGAAGTACACATTACTGGCACTTAATGAAATCTATTAATAATGGTGCAAGTATGAACACCTGGGCAGCAGCTTCTTCATAACCAGTTGTCCCATTTATTTGACCAGAGAAAAAAAGTCCTTCAATTTTCTTTGTCATGAGGGATCTAAAACACTGATGTGCAGGCAAATAATCGTATTCCACAGCATACGCTGGCCTCAACATTGAACAATTTTCAAGCCCAGGTAAAGTTCTCAAGAGCGGAAGCTGTAGCCTCTCAGGTAATCCTGTAGAGAATCCCTGTAAGATAATTGAATCATAGTGGCAGCTTGAAATGATGAAAAATTTTGCTCGTGCATACAAAGACTAATATTAATTATATGAAAAGTGAAAACATAATTTGATTTCCTATCCCTATCCCTCTCCCCCCCCCCCCCCCCCCCCCACCCCACCACCACCCAAGTACAATTTACAGGAAAAAGATCCTCGTGGTTTTTCATGCCTCCAAATGAATAATCAAAACCATATAGTACAGCAAGTATCTGTTAAGACCTCAAGGAGCACAAGTAAACTATAATATCAAAATCTCCACCGAACATTAGTTTACAAAAATCCATAGGTAGAACTTAATCACCAAACCGCTAACTGTGGGCATTAGTATTTATCAAATATATTTTTTCTTGCCCTATGACTTTGGAGGAAATTATTTTTATAAAGATACATGAAACCTCATACTTTCAAGCATGATGTTTTGGAACATCTTAGCATTAACATTTTGAGGAGCTGCAAGAAGAATATTATCAAGCAAGATAACGCAAGACAAAAGATTATATATATGGATAAGTTTCAAACATATGCACTAGTTCGTATAGATAAGAAGATATGTTGGCATACATATCAAAGGCCGATATCTAAAATACCTGCACATAAAGTTCAGGCACAGTTCGACCTTCCGGTTCTAGAAAAATTTGATGTGACTCTTTATCCTGAAATCTAACAATCTGAAAAGCAGCGGAGTTATATCAGGATAAACTACATATATACCTGTAGATATAAGCCTCATACACAAGAAAAAATTCAAATTTGATGTTTTCCATACATGTGAGATAATTGAAAGTATCACACCTTATCCTCAATGGCAGGGCAGTATCGAGGTCCCTTAGCTTCCACCCATCCTCCATATGTAGGGGTTTCATGCAAGTTATCTTTGATCAGTTGATGGGTCTTCTTTGTGGTGCGTGTAAGATAGCAGCACATTTGTTCTCTTGTAATATGATAATTAGGATCAAAGCTGAACCAGTTTACCTGTTTGTTATGGTACCAGACTTAGTACATGTTTGGCATAGTAATATTTGCAATAAATAAGATAAAAGCCCCCAATGATTCCGTAGACCCGGGGAGTGGGTGAGATAATCCTACACAGCAGTGATATATAGCTTATAATATATTGTCATATACACCTTGAAATTTGAATCATAGTAAAAACACAAATTTACCACAAGATTCTGGTTTCACCAATGTACAATAGAAGAGATGATAAAAGTTTCCATAGATTATTAACACATTACTCAAACAACCAAAAAAAGGTTTTGTTCACCCTCTTTAATTATCTTTAATGCAAGTATAAATATCATTAATGAAAAAAATCATGAGTATAACTTATTGACTGGATTCCAGAAGATGAAAACACAGGATATGTGCAAGGATGCCAGTTATTCATCAAACATTAAGGGTCTGTTTGGTACAGATAATTGACAACAGAAAAATGGAAGTTGAGAAATAAATCAGTACTATTTTTTTTTTTTTTTTTTTATCTTTATTAGTACTATTCAATTTTTATAAACTTTTAAAATTATATTATTTCAATTTTACAAAAATCATATTAAATTTATTATTCAAGTATTTAATTTTTACGATTTTTTAAAAAATTGTACTAAAATATAATTTTGCGAAACATCGTATATAATTTATAATTTTTAAAAAAAAGCCTTAAAACTCTGTTTTGTCCAATTAATCAGTTATTCTTGTTCGATCCATACAAATAGCTGTAATTTTTTTTTTTATATTTCTCAATTGAATTTTCTATTTTACCAATTAAGATAATTAATTTTCATTTCCTACACAATTCCTTTTCTCTGCAATTTTATTCTCTACTCTTATTTCTCTACAATGTCATTTTCTATACCAAATGCCCTCTAAAAAGAAGCCCAGTAGAAGAAAACATAAGCTTATATCTCACAACTGCTACTGAAACGAGATATAAAAATAAGTGAGATGACCTCTTCATCTCCATGCTGAGGCTCTAATCCAGAGAAATCTACTGTGCGGCAATCTACACGTGCAGGTGTTCCAGTTTTCAATCGATCTGTCTCAAACCCCAACTGCTGCAAGTTTTCTGTCAGACCATGTGAAGCTGACTCACCAGCTCTCCCGGCCGGCATGGAAGTCCTTCCAACCCATATTTTTCCACTCATGAAAGTGCCAGTAGTAAGAACAACAGAACGGGCAAGAAAATTCATGCCAAAGAATGTTCGAACACCTTCCACATTGTCATTCTTCCCCAACAAGATATCTGTCACCATAGCTTCTCTAATGGACAGGTTTGGTGTACTGAAACAGATCTTAGTAGTTAGAGAATAGCGGTAGTATATCCGACTAGAAATTTTGTGTTCTCTTATCAGTTTAGCTATGATTGGTTGTAGTTCAGCTAAGCTATAATCTAAGGGCATGATCTAAGATGCAAAAATCACATGGTGGTAAAGAAAGAAAAAGGTTCATAATCTAAGATGCATAAAACCACATTGTGTTTTTTTATCAGTTTAGCTATGATTGGTTGCAGTTCAGCTAAGCTATTATCTAAGGGCATGATCTAAGATGCATAAAATCACGCGGTGGCAAAGAAAGAAAAAGGTTCAGAACAAATACGACTCTAGATGCTTTGATATTCAATATATCATTATCTAGCAGCTGAATATAAATACCATTTTGCATTGTCTAGCAGGTGGAACATATTGGATTGTCAAAATCTAGTATCAGTCACAAGGACATACTGATTATTTCCAGCTTATGAAAGGAGCAGCGAGAGATTTCACATCAAACTGTCAAAATGAATCGAAAAAATCTTGAACTGTTGATCTATCCAGTTAAACAAATCCCACTAACTATGACATCTGTATAAATTCCTGTACAACACACAGACCAGACAGATTTGACACAGTATAGCTAGGGTGCCTTCCAGCATACCTTTAGGAGTTCCAAGTCATGTCTTTTGATAGTTTAAGTTAGGAACCCAGTGATCCAATCGGATTTTAGGGTCTAGACTCAAGATTCTCCGGTTCAAAGGCTCATATATCTATTTGACAATTTATTTGCTGGTATGCAGCCATTCACCTAAGACATATGTTCACACTTCGCCAACCATAGGAAAATCCTTAAAGTGTAGTATTTAAATAGGAAAATAAAAGATGTCTTCAAAGCGAATGAATGAACTTACCTCTCCACAATTTTCTTCATTTCTAAAGCATATTCCCTTTTATCAGTTTGTGCACGCAGTGCCCTAACAGCAGGCCCCCGTGACACATTTAGGACACGCTTTTGTAAGTAACACCTGAAGTTCAAACAAACACCATCCCTTAATTAAAGGATAAATAAACAAATGAAATTAACCATTAATCACACCTGAAGTCTAAGCAGGTCCCATCCCTTATTTACAGAATATATAAACAAATGGAACTCTACATCAATCAGCAACTGCACATGTATCGCAACCATGAAAAGCTTTGCCGCTATATGTGCAAACATGCTTTTGTAAAATGTAAAATCTTAGTTAAACAGCTAGGTGTATATGATTGTAAATTCGGATTGGAGAAGATTCATTCAATAGGATCACACATCAACAGTCAAGTTTCCTAGATCTTGAAACTATCTTCGTAAACGCATATCCAGAAAACACTTGTTTCTCATTATTTATGCATTAGCTATTCAGGGGTGCTTCTTTCTATAGTTCCTTCCTGATCAAAGATTTTAATTCTAGGCTTCTTCAACCAGTCCTCTGCATGCATCAGCGTTCGTTAGCCACTTCGGAATGTCTCAAGTAGGAAAAACAAACTAAAGCATAAATTTATTTCAAATCAGATTTATGTTTACATTATGGGTTTGTTCTTTGAGCTTTATTCATTTTTATTAATTTTTTAACTATGCAATCTTTTACAATTTGCCTCCAAAAACATCATATCCAACAATTATTTCAACACAAAGAGAGAGAGAGAGAGAGAGAGAGAGAGAGAGAGAGAGAGAACACACCCTTTATAAAGATTGTAACACGTGAAAATAAAAAAGTATAAACATGAGAACAACACATGGTAGAGCAATTGGAAAAGAATGAAACCTCCTACCATCCATAATTCATGAAGAAAATTTCAAACAATACAAGTCATATTGCTCAAGCATATATAAATAATCATGATGCCATTAAATTAACAAGTAAACTTTCAAAAGACAATAGAAATCGATCTAACCAATAATCTGCTAATTGCAGCTTGTTTTACCTATCAGCTACCTTTCCGATTTCACCACCAAGGGCATCCACTTCATGGACGAGTTGAGACTTTGCAGGGCCACCAACAGCTGGATTGCAGGGCTGAATTGAATCCAGGAAATTCATGAGTACCCAATAATTAAAGCAAAAAGTACAAAAATAGTTTTGAAATGACCTATAGTTACGTGAGTTTCTGAGGACGAAAAGAATTAGTCAACTAACCTGCCATGCAATGCGGTCAATATTTAGAGTTAAAAGAAGTGTTTTTGCCCCTAAGCGAGCAGATGCAAGGGCCGCTTCGCAGCCTGCATGTCCACCACCAACAACAATCACATCAAACCTTTCATCGGAAGTGTTGTCATGGGTGCTCCAGTCTGCGAACAAATAAAAAATGCAAAAGATGAATAGTTTCAAAGAAAAGGAATACAGCAGCCATATCTCATAGTTGCAAAAGTTCAGCTCAGAGTCATTGTAACAAATGAAGCAGATTAAAAACAGGGAACAACAAGAACAAATATTTTCCAATACCAATCTTGTCCGAATGTCGCTACAATTAGTTCCCTATAAGTACAACATAAAGAAACAACATAATTCTTATGGATATCAAATGCTCTAAAAAATTTAAATAAAATTCGAACTTTACACCTTCCCTTGCAGTAACAAGTACCATTTTACAGTGCACCAACTTCGCTCTAATATATCCAGGTCAAAAAAAAATTGATAATGGCGCAGAAGTTTCTTGCATTAGTGATAGCCATTTCAAAAACATGATCAAATCCATAAACTATAGCACCATTAAAGATAACTCGAGCTCGGATGAAAAAAATATTCAACTTTCAACAATTACTACCTTAACACGCTCGTCTATAAAAGAAACACACGGACATAACCCGTTCGACGAAAACACAGTAAATCAGCAAAAAGCACAAACACATTATACCATGAATCGAGGATGCTGAGGCACAAAACTTTCGTCCCTTAGGGCGTGAGAAACCACGGGAAACGTGAAACGACCAGCTTGGAGCAAATTGCAACTTCAGGCGATGTCTAACAAAGGCGCGGGACGAAAAGCGCGAGGCACAAAAAGGCACTTGTGAGGCAAACCGACTAAATTGCAGAACAAGAGAGGAGGCCATCGGCGAGATCCCGAAAATCCGGCGGTCTTTTCAGCGACAGAGACTGCCGCGCGCCATGGAAATGGAGAGTTTTGCCTTTGATAGGATTTGGCGAAGGGATGTGGTTTATTGGTTATCAACAATTACTTCTATTGGAAAAACTCATTTTTGTCCTAATATATATACATATATATATTCTTATTAATATCATAATTATTAATTTTATCTCATTAAAATATATTTGTATTAGATGACTACAAGGGTGACTGGCTGATTATCAATACTTCTGAACCGACCATGTTTTATAGGGTAATTCTAATATAATTAAAATTTTTACATATTTTATAAATTTTTATATCTGAATTAAAATTGATACATTTTAATTATATTAAAATTACTATTAATTTTTTTTATTTTAATTATATCAATTATCTTAAATTCAAAATATTTTTTTTTATTCTGAATCGACCATGTTTTATAGGGTAATCCTAATATAATTAAAATTTTTACATATCTTATAAATTTTTATATCTGAATTAAAATTGATACATTTTAATTATATTAAAATTACTATTAATTTTTTTTATTTTAATTATATCAATTATCTTAAATTCAAAATATTTTTTTTTTAAAAAAAAATAACAAATAAATAAGATTTTAGACTAAAAGAGGAGTCGGCCAATTAAACATGACCTTGTGAAAACATAGACGTGTGTAAATGTACACTGAATTATACACGGCGTGTGACAACATTATGATAACTAGTTTTGATGTATATAGTCAATTACAGGGAATTTTTGTTCGAAGATCGAGATGTAATGAATTATTGAGAGCGATCAGATATAGTAAAAAATTTATGGTTGTAGACCCTGAATTGTTATCATAAGTATTTATACTTTTTGACCGTTGAGTTTTCAGGAAGAACACAGGGATTTTAAGTCAAGTATTGATCTTACGAAGCTGTGGAAATGCAGTAAAATGACCCGCTTCGAAGCGGGTCTAAATCTTAATCTAAAGAAAGCTGGAAAGGAAAACGGTAAAAAGCGGAGCGGTGGTTAGCGGGCACGATGCCAGCAATGGATGAGCGAGAGAGACACGAGCGGATGGTACAACATATATGTATACAGATTGAGCAGTAGAGATTGAAGGCGAAGTGTTGTGTCTGAACTGTGCGTTACTCAATGGCTAGGTTTTCCTGGAGGAAGTAAGCGAATGGTGCAAGTGTTTAAACAAACATATATGTATAATACGGAAGCGGGAGAAGGAGATGATGTAAATATATAAACCAGATTATATAGAACTTTTATCGATGGTACTTGACCTTAAGGAATTTACAACAAGACTTCAATGACGCCCAGAATTAGAACATTATAAGAAATAAACTCTACTCTCGCTAGGAGTTTCTGCGACCCAATAGACCATCGCCTATGCCCCATTAATTATTCCAATTTCGGTCTCATTATTGGTTTTACCCTTTTGTTACCTCCTTTTAATCAAGATTGAATTCAAACCCGTAGTTAAGCATGGCGACAAGGCTCCCACGTACTCAACTACATTTAACTACCTCAAATATGTTTATGACAAAAGACAAGGCTTGGATTAGCAATCTTTCTGTGCTCTTTACCAGCGAAGTAAAAATTTTTTACAATTAAGGTTTATATAAGTGTGAAAGGTGTGGAGGAAGTGATAATGAAGAGCAAATAATATTTCATTACTTACTACCAAAGCTGGAATTTCTAATTTTACAAAGACTGTAATTAAAACAATAAAGTAAACTAAGTAAGCAGTAAAGTGGTGGCCAAGGGAGAAGAGAAATCTCAACTCCCTTGGTCATTCATGTGGAGAACTCCCTTATAGGGTTGGAGCTCTCGAGAAACAGGAAGACAGCTAGAGTGCGCGAAAGATAAGTGCTAGTATACTCCTCTCGAAGTATATTTTACATACATATATCTGCCCCTATTTATAACAGGTGAAAGTTGCGGTTGCAAGCAGTTACAAAGTGGTTTCAACCGCTAGGTAGTTAAGCAGTTGATGACGGTTATTCTGTTGAAGCAGTTGCTGGCCATAACTCTTAGGGTGCTCGTTTCGCTTGCTTGTAATGGCGCAGATCTTTCTCACTTTCCGGATGACTGGAGGGCATCAGCGCAGTTAAGCGGGCTTGCTTGTGCTGGCTGGTAGTTGAATGGTTGTACTGCTGCAGTTGGGACACTTAGGCAATATTTGAGTTGAGTTGCCGTCGCTTCGCTGCGGTGGGTGTCTGGTCGCTGGCCTGAGCGCTGGAGTGTCGCTTGCGAGCGGTAGAGGTTGTCGCTTGTGAGCGGTGGAAGCTACCGCTTGCCTCTCTTGCCTTAGCTTTTCTAAGTGATGGGGTCATCGCTTGCGAGCGGAAATGACTATCACTCGTTCCATCTGCCTTAGCTTTTTGGATCCAGAACATCGCTTAAAAGGGTAAAAATTCTTAATAATCTCAACAAACCAACTTTGGATCATGCCAAGCGAGATAGATCAATATAGTATGCCATAAATCAGTTATTGTGATATTTTTTATACAGAAATTCAAGTAATACGTAGTTTTGTCAAGCGAGGAGTATGTTCATATTTGGAGTCATCACATGACCGTGTATAATTGTACATGATCGTATAGTTTCCAGGTTAACTGCCACGTTAATTCCGTTACGTCCATGTCAACAATTGCCGTTAATGTTTTAATGGTGAAACCAAAATTGATTGAAATTATTTATAATGAGACAAAAATTGGTTAAAATTATTTATAATAGGACTAAAATTGATAAGTTTTTTATATTTGGACCAAAATTAATTTTTCTCTTTTAATTATAAGATGTCCCCAATATTAAATTCCTAACCAAATATCGATTCAATATTTTTATAAAAGTTTAACTTCATTTAATAGGAGAAACATAGATACAACAAGTGGCAAGTTTTGATAAACAAAACCCCTAGAGACGCATGAGACTTATTAAATGACATAACTATGAACTCATAACACTTCGTACTAAGGGACATGATGATAGTAAAAGAGGCAAACGAGGTAAGCACTATACAATAACAATTAACAAGGTAACATCAATTGTTCGACAATTGGTTGTACAGAATGCACAAGTTAAAGCCTCAGGAATATGCGCTAGCTCAGAACATCCTATTGATACTTGTCCCACAATGACTCAAGGAGTAATGTCAATGCCTCGAGATTCATTGCGAGCATACGATCCCTAGTCGACACTTACAATCCTGGATGGAAAGATAATCCGAACTTAAAATTTGAAAATCAAAAGGCCAATGTAGGAGACAATTCACAAAGTTCCATCCACCTAATCACTATCCACAACCCTCTCAAGCAGTTTCGAGTAATTATTTACATGATATGATGAAAACTATGACGCCTAATATGTTACAATTTCAACAGAAAACTCGAAACAATATCAGAGCTTGGAAGAACCATTAACTCAAATGACGAATGAGATGCAGGAGATGAAGTCCAAAGAGTAAGGCAAATTGCTTTCACATCTTGACGCTAATACAAAGAATGTGAGCTGGACAGTTCTACAAAGTGGAAATGAATTGGAAGGACCTAAAGTTAGAGTTTCAAAATACAATGATGAAGAGGAGATCGAAAAAAATAGAGAAAACTGATAATGAAAAACCAAATAAGGTAACTTCTGAAACACTTACTCATCCTAAGACTAACGCTGCACCGTTTCCTTGCAGGTTAGATAAACAAAATAAGAGTGATAAAATTAAGAAAATGATAGAGATGTTCAGAAAGGTGGAATTGCGTATACATTTGTTGGATGCAATCAAACAAGTGCTGAATAAAATGACCGGAAGGATGAATCGGACATTAAATAAGGGCTAGATGTATGTGACTAAAGTTAAGTTTGCTAAAGATGTTCTGGACTGATATGATTAACAACATATTTTTATAAGTAGAAGTTTATCAATACTGCAAAAATATAAGATCCCAAAAGAGGTACGTATTGGAAAATTGGTAAATCTCTTTATTTTCAATGTACTTTTGGTTGTATTGCATATCTTAAAGTCGATTATAAGACAAAGTTAGACGTAAAGTCGGTGAGGTATACATTTTTTAGCTATAGTAGTGACAAGTTTAGGTAAAGATTTTGAGATGAAGCAAATTGAAAGATTATATATGCTCGTGATGTTATCTTTGATGAACAAATATTGCACAAAGATATATTGAGTGACAACGACAGAAGGAGTTTGAAAATGATTGAATTTGATACTTTCAACACTAGCTTGAGCAACCAAATTTGGAATGATTGAAGTGAAAGTTGAGCTACCTTCCCCGTTACTAAAAATGTTGAGATCCTAATAGAAGTTGAACCAAACTCAATAATATCATTGTAAAAAATAAGAAATCACAATATAACATATACATTTACTAGATTAAAGAAGATGTAGATGATGATAAGCGATAAAAGGTTAGATTGGTAGTGAAAGGATTTAAATAGATATATGACATTGATTATACTAATGTGTTCACTCATATTGTGAAATTGAAGACAATTCAATTGATTTTAGGCATGATAACATTAAATAATTTGATGTGGAATACTTAGATGTCAAGATTGTCTTTTTTTCAGAGAGGCTTGGGTGAAGATATCTACATGGTATAACCAGAAATGTATGTGGCGGAAGGATAAAACAATATAGTATATAGGTTGAGGAAGACTCTGTATGATCTTAAACAAGCACCGAGACAATGGCTGGAAATTTGATGGCTTCACAAAATGACATGGTTTGACCGTTCATATATAATACTATTGTTATATGTGGAAGGTATGTTATTGGCTTAATCCTATTCTTGATAAATTGATAAACTAAAGCAACAATTGATGAAAAGATTATCGACGAAAGATTTTGGATAAACAAAGCACGTTTCAATCATGCGACAAAAATTAAATATATTTTAGTAATGGAAACTAGCAAGAAAATAATTTGGCCATAAAACTTCATATTTGAGTTAGAAAAATATGTAAAGAATAATAGTTTCATAGCAATACTCGACATGCAATTTATTTGGCTAAGAATCTCGGGTTTGCTTGTTTTGTGTTTTAGTTTGAAGAATTTTTTTTTTATTATATAGAATTATGTAAATAATATAAAAATAATGAGGGTGTATAATATATTACTCTATCAGTTCACTTAATTTGTCATATCTTTTTATTTTTGTCCGTCAAACATAATTTGTCATTTTTTTTTAAAAAAAAATATATAATTATATGTTTAATCCCATTTCAAAATTTATAATTTCTTTATTTTAATTAAACTATTTAGTCATTTTAATCTTAATCTATAATTATTTAATTAAATCATAATTATTTTCAATAATATACTTCTTAATTATAAACTAATTACTTCTTATTCAGCTATGACAATGGGAATAATTTTTTTGAAAAATTATGTTTGAGGGTTTTTTTTTTTTTTTTTTTATCAAAATACACAAACCGCTCGAGTGTGTTCTTCCCTAATTCCCTAAAAATATATTTTCTCTAAAAATTAATATATTACACACATATTTTTATATTATTTACGTAATTTTCTATACTTTACACACAAAAAGATTTTTTCAAATAATTTTAGTAAACAAACACTCACTCCTTGTACTTCATGTAAGGACTTAATATATTAAATTAAAGTTTTATTACATTTGCGAGTTATTTGAAAAAGAGATTTTAAAGTTAGGTCATCTCAAACCCTTCACTCAATTTTTTCAGTTAGCAACGCAGTTGATCTACAGTAATTTTACTATAACCATAAACTTCAATTTTACTCTAAAAAGCTATATTCCCTATATATTCCTCTTTTATATAATTTTTCATATTTATAAATTACACCCCAATTTTAATTTATTTTTACATTAGATCCATACACATATAATTTATATTACTTTTCAAACAGTAAAATTATATATCAATTTAAAAAATAAAATTATACATTATTTTTTTAAAAAATAAAATTATATATTACTTTCAAAAAACTAAAATTATATCACTTTTAAAAAATAAAACTAAACATTATTTTTCAAAAAGGAGGATTTGGGGGTGGGTTGGAGCCCCTCTCCCGTGTCTACAGCGGGTTGAAGATGATCTAAAAATTATACTCCCTATCCCATTAAAATTATCATTTTTTTATTTTCGTCATTAGGTTATCATTTTCTAATTTAATAATTATACTACCTACCTAACATAATAAATATTTTTTTAACTTATAATATATTACACAAATATCATTACTTTTGTATTACACCATACTAATACTAATAAGGATATTTTTGTCTCAATCTAATACTCCCTTTCGTCCGCTTACAAAGTTTACATGTTTCTATTTTGGGACGTCCAATTACAGAGTTTACATTTCATTAAATACCCTAAATATTATTACATTACTTTTAACTATTCTCTATAATTAAAATATTATTATTTCTTAAACACCGCGTCAAAATTAAATGTAATCCTTGTAAATGGACGGAGGAAGTATAATACTAATATTAAAAATCTATGTAAGAAAAACAAATGTCATTTTTGAGACGGGGTGAGTATAAAAAATATGTATTTATTTAAATAATTTTTGGCAGAAAAAATGGATTACCCTAAAAAATATACTAAAATCATCTAACCAAACAAAACTTCTTTTTCTTCATATTTTATTATTATTATTATTATTATTATTATTTTGTGTATAAATCCAACCTTAATTTGATTTCATTGCGTTACGTGTCCTATTCCCATACTGTTCCAAACGGCCGAGAGCCACTTTCTCTTTCTCCTTATCCACCATCAGTCCATCACCTACCTTTCCATCGACTTTCAGGCTTCCATATCGTTCTCAGTTCCCCCAATGTTCGTCAATTGTTTGTAACTACTAATTCAGTCTCCGCTGCTTCCAAATCCTCCTCCTGCGGGTATGGCTGTTTCACCAGGCCACTGCCCTCCCGTCGCCGCCACCGCTCTCACTCCCAACTTTGCTCTCACACAAACACAACTAAGTAATTCTCTGGGCCTCAATTTCCTAATCACACCCCTCAAACTTCGAGGAGGACAACGCACTCAAGTTAGACCACCTGTGAGGCCAGCGGCAGCATTGGGTGGATTTCTTGGCGGGATTTTCGGCTCCGGCACTGACACCGGGGAGACCGCCCGGCAGCTTTACGCCAGCTCCGTTGCACAAATCAATAAGATGGAGTCCGAGATTTCATCTCTCTCCGATTCTCAATTGAGGGAAAGGACATCCGCCTTGCAAGAACGCGCCAGACGTGGTGATTCCTTGGACTCGCTTTTACCTGTATGTCCTGTCCATTTATCTTTAAGCTTAAGACATATTTTCTATCCAAACAGACAGTTGCTTTTATATATGCTTCATTATTCAACTTACAAATTTTTTTAGTTGATGTGTTAATTAGTTTGTAGCTCTCGAATGCTTTCTTAAGAACAAATTTTAATGCTTCGTTGCAGGAAGCATTTGCTGTTGTCAGAGAGGCTTCCAAAAGAGTGCTTGGTCTTCGTCCATTTGATGTACAATTGATAGGTTGGTTCCTCGTCAATGATTTTTTTGGGTTCTCAAAATCATTTTTAGAGAGCAGAGGGGATTCAATGTGAGATGTTAATCGGATCACAAACAAAGGGGATACAACGTTTTAGTTTTAGTGTTCTGCAGTTGTTTGGGCATTTTTTTGAAATTTTCCTGTTTATTTGAATGTTGCATAGGTGGCATGGTTCTCCACAAAGGAGAAATTGCTGAAATGAAAACAGGGGAAGGAAAGACACTTGTTGCTATCCTGCCTGCTTTTTTAAATGCGTTGGCTGGAAAAGGTGTTCATGTTGTTACTGTTAATGACTATTTGGCTCGAAGAGATTGTGAATGGGTCGGACAAGTTCCACGTTTTCTTGGATTGAAGGTTGGCCTAATTCAGCGTACGTCTTACCCATAATTTGTTTATACTCTAAACTATATTGGGATTTTAGTACATTCAAGGATTCTGACTTTAATTTATATAGTATATCTTTATTTTTTATTTCCTTTACTGCAGTAGGAAAAATCAACTTCAGAACCTTTATGGGTAAACACTTGGGTTCAATTGGTAACTTCAAAATTAATCTATCCAAAACTTAGATCGCTCCAATCTGGAGCTTAAAATCTGCTAATGGATGTTTTGACTTACTCTACATTAAGACAATGTTGGGGAAATATTGTTCATTGATTGCCAATAACCTTACTTGCATGCAATCAAGTTATACATGGTTACTGGTTCTTTGTGTAGCTGTCTTTTAGTGGTTTTTTAGGCCCTGAGGATCAGCTTTACACGTTTGTGAATGTCTCTCTTGTTTGGTTTTTTCCATCTTTATCTTTCTCCTCCCGCTTTCACTTGATTTATCTAATGCCATTTGAAGTGTGTCCTCTACATTCTTTGTGTTTCATTACTTCATGTCGTTCTAAGTTATCTCTGACAGCATCTTCTTTTTGACTGTAAAGGCTATATTTACACCCCCCCTCCCTTGACGCTTGTTTAATGATGGCAGAGAATATGACAAGTGAACAAAGGAGGGAAAACTATCTATGTGACATTACATATGTTACAAATAGCGAGCTGGGCTTTGATTTCTTAAGAGATAATCTTGCCATGGAAAGTAATTCTTTTGTTTTTCATTTCCTTCTAATCAATTTGTATGATAATATGAAATATATTTGCTATCCATTTTTGTTTGAAATGGATGTTTTATTATACAGAGTGTCGATGAGCTTGTCTTGAGAGGTTTCAATTACTGTGTGATTGATGAAGTTGATTCCATTCTTGTCGATGAAGCAAGAACTCCTCTCATAATATCAGGACCTGCAGAAAGACCAAGTGATCGTTACTATAAAGCTGCTAAGATAGCCACAGCTTTTGAGCGAGATATACATTACACTGTAAGAAATTCAACTATGTAGGTTCTTATACACTATTTTTGTCAAAGACAGTCATATATAACTTCTTGTAATAGTTTGTGTACTAACCAAAATATGATGAATAAGATTTTTCTTTTTGAGTTGATTATGTTGTTTCCTTAATATAGCTTTCTTTTTATGGATTGACAAAATTCGTACTTTAGTGTACATGTATTTAGGCTCCTCTTAGGTTTGCATCATGTTCAGTGTATATCGTTAGCAACTTCAACTAATATGTTGTCGCTGTGCAGGTTGATGAGAAGCAGAAGACAGTGTTACTTACTGAACAGGGTTATGCAGATGCTGAAGAAATTCTTGATGTTAAAGATTTATATGACCCAAGAGAGCAGTGGGCAGCATACATATTAAATGCCATAAAAGCTAAGGAACTTTTTCTTAAAGATGTGAACTACATAATCAGAGGCAAAGAGGTTTTTATAGTGGATGAATTTACTGGCCGAGTGATGCAGGTAAATAATTTACTGGCCAAGTGATGCAAGGAGGTCCTTAAAAATTTGTTACATGAGTTATGAAGAAAAAATTCATTTTGATCGGTGACATCAATGTTAGGTTCTTTCTAATGGAATACAGCTCCAAAGATACGTCATCGCTTTTCTTCCTAATAATTAAAAGTGCTTTTAAGTTCCTTCACCCACATATTATGCACCTATCTATTCTCTAGTGTGTTTTTGTGTGTCACTCTTGTTTCTTTAGTTTTGTTATAGTTTGCTACACTAAGTGATTGACGTTTGTCCTAAAATATTCTAATATAACGAATTAAAGTTGTTGAGAGGTTTCTTGAAATATATATATATATATATATATTGTGTTCTATAACTAGTACACTCTTTTATTGAATATAAAAATCCTTAATTTCCAATGATAGTTTTTTTAAATGGTATATTGCACGTACTATGTTATTGTAGTAAGACCAAATAAAGGTTTGCATTGGCTAATCTGTCTGCCTTGATTTAATTTTTTGATGTCTTATTTAATGGCACAAAAAGAGCAGTTTTGTTATGTCCTATATACCATTAATAGTCATAGGCATGATGTCATTCTGGGACTGAACATTACACAGGTGGCTGCAGTTTTAGTCATAGTAACATTGGTTTCAGTTCTCCCATAGATTTTATATAGTTATATTTTCATTAATTTTTTAAGATAAAGATTATGTGAGTTATTTTTAATCACTTTCATATTTGTTATATGTCCAATTTGATTATATCGTCAACTTACACGGACTGTATATATGTGCACATCTACATTTATATAGAAAAATTCTATACATTGCTTGTATAGTAAGTAGCTTTTAATATAAAACTTATTATTTTTATTTATATTTAATCAGTTCTGGAGCCAAAACCAGACTGAGCTGCTCATTCTGGTTTCATTTTCTTTGAACAACCAAACCTGGAATCCTTGTATGATTAGTGCATTATAATTTCAGTTCACTAGCAATTTCTTTCATTGTGTCAGTGTATATAATTTGTTCTGTAATAGCTAAATCCATAACATCACTTTATATTATATTTGATATTAGATTCTAGCAACTATTAAGTTCTATATTGATTCAGATTCTTTATTTTATCGTAATATTCTATGTAGTATCAACTAGAGCAAGCGAAATGACAAATATTTCTAAAAAATCAAGAAAAATATTGTATATAGGAGAGCTAAAGGTATAAATTGATTCTTTAACGCAAGAATTCTAGCTCCATGTTATCACTTTGCTCTTATTCTTGAGAATTAATCATGGACCTAATTACAATACTCATAGGGGAGACGGTGGAGTGATGGACTACACCAGGCAGTTGAAGCAAAAGAAGGCCTGCCCATACAAAATGAAACTGTCACCTTGGCTTCTATTAGTTATCAAAACTTCTTTCTCCAGGTTTTCAGATTTACAGTAATTTGTCCATACCTTGTATTCATTGTGATAATCTTTTCACATCACTGAAAGTTTTACTAATGTTTGCTTCGATGGTTGGTTGTAGTTTCCGAAACTTTGTGGTATGACTGGCACTGCTGCTACTGAGAGTACAGAATTTGAGAGCATATACAAGCTTAAAGTTACAACTGTTCCCACAAACAAGCCAATGATAAGAAAGGTTTATTTTAAGCATGTCTTACCATCACTAAACTAATGAATTTTGTTTTTTGGTACTTGTGGTTGGTCTCAATTTTGACTCAGAATCTAGGAATTTAAAAACAATGAAAGTTTGCTTCTACTAGGAACTCAGAAGAATATGTGCATTTTATGATGACTGAGTTTCAGCAAAGGTGCAAACCCATTTATTTTGGCACAAAAACTGGTAGAGAAAATCTAAGAGTGTGTTTGTTTGTGGGTTTGGGATTTTGGGTTTGGATTTTTGGAATAGTAAAAAGTTGAATTTGAATAGTTGTTTAATGTGATATAAATATATATTGATGTGATGTTTTGAATGTAAAATAAATTTGTAGTACAATCTAAAAAAAAAAAATTAATTGTTTGATATGATATTTTTGGAGGGAAATAAGGATCTGAATAGTAAAGATCTGTGTTAAAATCCACAAAAGAACACAACCTAAGTTATTTTACAAAGAATCATGAAATAACATGCAAAACACATTTATTTAATATGATGGAGTACTAGTAACAAATTACGCATTAATCATTGTGGAACATAGTTAATTATAAAGTTCACTAGTAGTAATTATATCCACATGCAAGGTATAAGTATCAAGCGCTTGTATGGGCGTGCTAAACTTTCCTGACCTGTTCATTGGACTTGATGCTGCTTTGCTGTAATTATTACTATTCTTGTTTCTTGCATCTTAATTAAAGTTTATCTGGTAATGTCTTTTGTTAATGCCGAAGGATGAATCAGATGTGGTATTCAGAGCAACTACAGGAAAATGGCGGGCAGTTGTAGTAGAGATATCTCGGATGAACAAAACAGGTCGACCGGTGCTAGTTGGCACAACTAGTGTTGAGCAAAGTGATGCATTATCTGGACAACTACATGAAGCTGGAGTTCCACATGAGGTTGATATAATATAATTTGATAGAACATAATTTAGGGTTTTAAATACTATTGTTGCCTTGAGCATCTAGATTGCATATAACTGTTTTTTCTTTTACCACCTTGGGAAAACTAACTTGCTCAATGTATTATTTTCAAAGGTTCTGAATGCAAAACCAGAAAATGTGGAAAGAGAAGCTGAAATTGTAGCTCAAAGTGGTCGTCTTGGTGCAGTTACAATTGCAACAAATATGGCTGGCCGTGGTACTGACATAATCCTTGGGGGTAATGCGGACTTCATGGCTAGATTAAAGTTACGAGAGATTTTGATGCCAAGGTATGCCCAACCTCAAGCAAAGCTCAATGTAAATATTCTCATAGTAGTTTACATTTGCTTTTTTTGGACAAAGATCATACATTGCCTACCATCTACTATAATGATCATTATATTACAATTTTGGTTAGACCTGACAATAGGGCAATTCGTGTCGGGTTCATTTTGGATTGAATACTTACATCACTTTATTTTAACCCGCCTTGTTTATTATTGGGTCAGAGTCATAGTGATCCGTACGCATAATTGGGTCGAAATTCTTGACCTAAATTTAGTTATTTCAGGTTAGTTGTCGTGTTATGTTAGTTTTGTTGGTTTTAGTGTAATGTTTATAGTGAATTATTTAAAATTAAACTTAATTTAGATTAATATATAGGCTAATTCATTAAACTAGAATTTGTTTTACATATATAATAAATTAATTTATCAATACTAATATATTATAATCGCATTGTCGTGTCGGTTTCGAATTGAGGGCATCAATTTTAATCCAATTCGTTTAGTATCGTATTGGGTTCGTATTGACCCATATACATTATTGGGTTAAAATTCTTGACTCAAACGCAATTATTTCGTTTCGGATTGTCCTGTTAGGTTAGTTTTTGCCAGCTCTTAGTTTTGGTACAAGATGCATATTCCCTTCTTTACATCCATTTTTTTGATCCTCGGATGCATTTAAACATATAGGAAAACTGTGACCAGGTGCTGCCTGTTTTTGTAACTTTATGAGAAATGAAGTCTGATAAGCCCACTTGTATGCATGTCTATGCTGGAAGCACAAATTCATAAAGAAGTAGTTGAAGAGTTTAAAAGAGCGCAAATGCACAATTTTGTTATGTGTTTCTAAGAACTGATTAAACTGCAGAGTTGTGAGGCCAGGTGAAGGTGTTTATGTTTCTGTGAAGAAACCAGCTCCAAAGAAAACATGGAAGGTTTGAATTACGTTATTTGTTTCAACATCTTTCCATCTATCCTGTCCATGTAAATTTCATCATAACCAAATGTAATATACCCATATTCCAGGTTAATGAGAGCCTATTTCCATGCATATTATCCAATGAGAACACTAACCTGGCTGAGGAAGCTGTACAGTTGGCTGCCAAAACATGGGGTCCGAGATCCTTGACTGAGCTTGAAGCAGAAGAACGGCTCTCCTATTCTTGTGAAAAGGTAAAATATATCAACTTATTGCTATCCAAAGTTTGATTTGGTGGATAGATCGGCCACTGACTCATGCATGTTCTTACACCAATCTGAGATTGTGTAGGGTCCTGTTCAAGATGAGGTCATTTCAAAGCTGCGCAATGCCTTTCTGGAAATCGTTAAGGAGTATAAGTCTTACACAGAAGAAGAAAGGAAGAAGGTAACTAGTTTTCCGTGTATTATGTATTATTGGTATTTTTTTATATTCTACGGTACCATTATTTTATTTTCTTTTTTGTTGTCGGTAGGAAACTTTTTTTCTTATCATTTGATCTCTGTCCCCCCCCCCTTCCACCTCGACCTCCTGTCCTTTTGCGTTGTTAGCTCTGTTGCAATGACAGAGATCAGAGATGTCAATTTTGGCAAAGTGTTAAAAGTCTTCGCCAGGAAATCAATAGACGAGAGGAATTAATAACTAGAAATTGTCTAATGACTATAAATCCAGTGATGCAAGATCGTCATTATGTTAGCTGGTCTGTCTAGTAAAAGATGCTGATAGATGGAGGTTGAATTGTTTACCTTGGTGATTACAAACTTTAAATGTCATAAATCATAATGTATTGTAATGCCTTATAAATTGGGTACTCTTCTATTAGTTAGTTTAAAGGGACTATACAACCATTTTGTTTCTAGCACTTCACCTTTTCAGAATGCATTCCATCTGACTCTTGAATTATTCAGGTCACCTTAAGAACAATACTATTTCAATGTTGTTGTGATAGGTTGTATCTGCTGGTGGACTTCATGTTGTGGGTACTGAACGTCATGAGTCACGCCGAATTGACAATCAGGTATGGTTTAAGTATCTTCTTTGGGCTCAGGCATTGTGTTGCATCACCTCCTTTGTTATAAAATCTTAGTTAGTATTGTAACTTTGTTGTTTTATGTCCTTTCTAATTCTTCCACTGTTTAATTTTTGTCTATTTGAAGTTACGTGGTCGTAGTGGCAGACAGGGAGACCCTGGAAGCTCTCGATTTTTTCTGAGTCTTGAAGACAACTTGTTTCGTGTATTTGGTGGAGATCGAATTCAGGTACTCTTTGAGCCCAAGCATATCTTCTATCTTGGCCATGCAGTTATTTATACCATTGAGACATGTAGGGCTTGATGAGAGCGTTCAGAGTTGAAGACTTACCAATTGAATCCAAAATGCTAACAAAAGCTCTGGATGAAGCTCAAAGAAAAGTGGAGAATTACTTCTTTGACATTAGAAAACAGTTATTTGATTATGATGAGGTTCTGAACAGCCAAAGAGATCGAGTGTACACAGAGAGGAGGCGGGCGTTAGAATCTGATGATCTCCAACCTCTCCTGATTGAATATGCTGAATTGACAATGGATGATATCCTAGAGGTACAATATCTATTTTCTTGTTGATGCTCTGATATCTGCCTTTTGCTGTTATGTTTGTTCATTTCTCCTCAAAAATGTTATAGGCCAACATTGGTTCTGATGCTCCCCGAGAAAGCTGGGAAGTTGAGAAGCTTATCGCAAAACTTCAGCAGTGAGTTGAATTCTTCTCCCCTATATTTACCCTTATTTCAAAAGCTTGTGGTTTTATATTAGAAATTAGATCATAACGATGCCATTTTGTTTTATTTTTATATATAGCCTGTCACATGTTACATCTTGTTATAAACGAGTACTGTATGATCAATATTTAAACAGTTGTGGGATTTTAAACCCTATATTTTCTGATACTTTTATTATTATTATTATATATATATTTTTTTTTTCTTTTTACATCTTTCAATTTATGATCTTCCATCTGAGTTTGTGGTTGGGTCCTCCTGGCCTTATGTATTGTGATTGTCTAATCTGATGATCAAGAATTTTCTTTTATGCCTAAACAATTCTGTGTAATGTTGAGAATATCAGCTATTGTGTTGTAACTGGAATCAATGTACTCAAAATTGATTATCTTTAGCATTCCATGGTCTGATCCATTGAACCACTGAACTTCATTAGATGGTCTTATTTCTCAACAGGAAGAGTGTTTTTTCAATATCTAATCCTGACTGTCTTTTCCCAGGTATTGCTATCTTCTGAATGATTTGACCCCAGATTTGCTGGATGATAAATGCTCGACGTATGATGAGTTGAGAGATTATCTACGCCTTCGTGGACGTGATGCGTATCTTCAAAAACGGGTGGGTTAGATTTCTAACAATCATATCTTATCAATTACCTATTAAATTGGTAAAGGATGAGTTTATTCTAGTATTTGGGAATACCGATCTAGATAAATCCCAATCAAAATGGATGAAGCTAGGAGATAAGTGAATCCATGTTGTCCGGTACACGGTGCTTCACTTTATTTTTCTCGTGTGCCAGGAAATAGTGGAGAGGGAAGCCCCAGATTTGATGAAAGAAGCTGAAAAGTTCTTGATATTGACCAATATTGATCGCCTATGGAAGGAACATTTGCAAGCGCTAAAATTTGTTCAACAAGCTGTTGGTCTAAGGGGATATGCCCAGAGGGATCCACTGATTGAGTACAAACTTGAGGGGTACAATCTTTTTGTAGAAATGATGGCAAGAATAAGAAGGAATGTGATCTATTCTATTTACCAGGTAATGTTGAATCTTTGTGGATTATTTGTGCTCACCTTTCTGGTTTTCACAATATTTGTGGCTTGCTTTAGATCTTCACCCATTTTGACGTAGCATTGCCATCAAATTTCCTCTCTTGTTATTCGGTCTGGTTACGGTGCTGATTGAGGTTAACACCATATTGATTAATCCCAGTTAGCACATAGTTGCTGAAATTGTATGTGCATGTGTCTATCATTAGTATGTGTTTTTAATTATATACTCCCTCCGTCCGTTTACAATAGTTACATTTACCTTTTGCGTTATTGTACTTAATATTAAAAATATTCTTATATTTATATAGTTATTTATACAAATGTTATTATAATTGTCTTATAAGACATTAATAGAAGTATTTTTGTCTTTTTTTTCTTGATTTGTACTACGTTTTGATATAATAAGATCAAACACACAAAAAGTAAATGTAACTCTTTCATCCGTTCGGAGAGAGTATTATATATTATCTGTGTTAATATGAAGTATGTGGTGAGATTGATAGTAACATATGTTGTTATGCTACACTGTACTGATATACTCAATACATTATGTTGAAATAGTATGTGTATGTTTATATTATTAACATGTGTTCTTAGTTATATATATTATACTTCTTTCGTCAACGAAAAATAAGCTCATTTACTTTTAGTACGGATTTAACGTAGTGTGTACTATTTGCTTTTTTTAATAGTAAGAAAGAAAAGGAAAAATGTTAAAAGGTGGTATGATTTTTTGCTAAAAAAGAAAACAAACATATTTTATTATGACAGCTAAAAATTAAGCCTAATCTTTTATATGATAGAGGGGTATATATTATGGTGTGTTGCGTGATTATTGTTATATGCTATTGGTTTATAGATTGTATTATATTATATTAACATAAATTGTACGTATATATTATGTGCTGTCAGTAGCTTGCTAAATAATAACAGTTGTCCTTGTTATTATTTCCTTGAAGCAATGCCAATGTACACATATACATACTTTCACACACGGGCTAGCTAGTAAATCTGAATGGTGTATCTTTGTGTTTTCTCAGTTCCAACCTGTCTTGCTGAAGGAGCAAAACAATGTAAGACGTGGAGAACAAAGCGAAGCCGTTGCCAATGGAAAGGGAGGCCAGCGCGGGACTTCTGACAGTGTAAATGCTGCCGTGCTGCCGCCCTCTTCATCTGGAGTTGGTCAGCAGGCAAGTAACTGAATCTTAATTGCTTTTGTAGATTCATTTTAATTTTTTTTTTTTTTTTTTTGAAGAGAAAACTTAATTATTGAAGTGTAATGTTTTTGGTAAATGTTTTGAAAAAAATTCCTAACTTCCAAGCTCCCACAATAGGGTACTAAGATTTCATACAAGTCTTCAAATAGAATATGAAATTCCTAACTTCTACAATATGTAGTATTATTCAACCATATAGGTAGATTCTTTAAATCTTCACCTTCTCTATTAATTATTTTGTTATGCATATTTGAGCCAATTAGATATATATATATATATATATATAAAACAGGGTTAGGATTGTTGATTGAAAATTAATAATATATTGTATTGTATATTATACACTATTAGAATACATGTTATATAATGTATTAACATGTGTTTATATGCAAACATACTTAAAGGTGAAAGAAGAGGAATAAAAATAGAAAAGATATTCTACCGGTGTAATTTTGAGTATTAAATTTGGTAAATTGTTCTTAATAAAAGTAGGGTTGAAAATTATAGTTTTAAACATAATTTAGATTACTTGTATTATAAATTAAATAATTTATAGGAATTATTAAAAAAAAATTCATAATTGAAGAGAGATTATTAAATTGATTTGAAATGAATGGTTGATTTAAGTTTTTGTTTAAATACTATTTTGATATGATATTTTACAAGAGAAAATAATATATTTTTATTGAAAACTGGATAGGATGTATAGCGTTGATTTTTATTTAAAATGGTAAAAGAACAAATTCATAATGCTTTTAAGTTCATATTTAGAGAATTTCACTTGAGTTCAATTCATATTTGCTGTATCTTGGATATACATTCTTATTCTAATTGCAAGTATTTTTATTTAATAATTTGTTATTATAAATATTATTAAGTGTTAGACTTTTATGACATAGATATAGCATTCTTAGGGTGTGTTTGTTTGAAGGTTTGGATTTTGGATTGGGATTTGAACAGTAAAAAATTTGAATTTGAATAGTTGTATGATGTGATATAAATAAGAATTGTTGTGATGTTTTAAATGTAAAATTGATTTTTAGTATAATATAAAAAATGAAAAATAAATGTTTGATTTGATGTTTTTGAAGGGAAAATTTTATGTCAATAGTAAAAATTCCACAAAATCCCTCAAACAAAGTATATGAAAAATTTGAAAGCTAATGGGTTAGTAGAAGGATATGTATAAGCAAGTTGCTTGTTCAAATAAACTAGTAACTCAATCTAATGTACTCCAAATATTATACACTTTAATCTTATTTTAAATTTTTAAATTTTAATTATACTAATTAGTTATCTTAATGTTAATTTAAAATTAATTTTATTAATGTATTCTTGATTATTTATTAATTATACTTCTCTTAAATTTCTGTGTCTCCGAGTTGTATAAATTGCATAATTATAAATATGTTCAATATTTTTATAGTGTGTAAATTATGATGGTAAAAGTCATAATCCTAATTGAGAATGGTATAAAACATGCATTGTGCCCTTAAAGATAGCTTCCAGATCTGATTATCGAAACTGAGGATCAGCTATTTGTGGGATAAAATACACATACATACAAACTAATTTTTATAATTAAAATTTAAATATATTTTATCAATCTACCTATGTATATCACTACCAGAATTTTTATATTTTGTATCCGAAATAGCTTCGGAAATTTAAATCAAGTCCAAAGCTATTTTTAATTAGCCTCGGACTTTGTTTCGGATTGATACCCGAGTCTAGAAACTCGTCGTTTTTTAAAAGTCTCTGAAATTCCGAGGCTGTTTTTATTCGTCTCGGAAATTTCGAAGCTATTTTGAGTAATTTTGGAATTTCCGAAACCAAACTAATTTTGATAATTGCATCGGAATTTTCAGATGCAGTATTAAATATTTTTTTTAAAAAGAAAATAAAATTGCCTCGAAATTTTCGAGACAATTATTAATTGTTTTTAAAAATATAATTCAAAATTTTCTCTTGGGTAATTGCCGCCACCACCGTCGCCTTCTCCGAAGAAGCCGCCGGCACCTTTGCTTGGAAGGCCTCCGCCGGAGTGAAAGAAGAAAAAGAAGGAAATCACACCTCCGCCGTCTCCACTGCCGGAGAAGGAGGCGGAGGATGAGGAGGAGATGCGGTTGCTGCCGCCGGCCCGGCGCCGCTCCAATCACGTTGGTTGAAATTTTTGTATAATCTATGATAATTATCAATTGATTTAGGTAATTCTAGACCATCAATAATTTCATTATTCGAGAATTCTATTTCTACTCGATTTCTTTTAGCACATTTGTTGTAATCAGTAATAATTTGACTAGAAACTTCACTACTTGGTGCGGTCAAAGGTGAAATCGGAGCTTACCTATTTAATTTTATAAAAAAATTATCAATAACCACACATCTAACAAAGATTAAATAAATAAATAAACAAAAAGAAAAAATATTTTTAAATTGAATATATAAAAAAAAAAATTGTAACTTATACTATTGGTTTTCCGTTCGACCCCACACCACCAAGTTATCTTATTTCTATCGACACTGATATATATATATATATATACACATACAGGCGCTTGTTCCGGAGTTGATTATGTTTAATTAGCATCGTGCTGATAGTATATTAATATATCATACAATACATTAAGGGTGTGTTCGTTTGTAGGACTTACACAAAATCCTACTATTCATTCAAAAATTTCCCCCCAAAAACATCAAATCAAACACCTATTTTTCATTTTTTATATTATATTAAAAATCAATTTTACATTCAAAACATCACATCAACACCTATTTATATCACATCATACAACTATTCAAATTCAAAATTTTTACTATTCAAATCCCAACTCAAAATCCAAACCCCCAAACAAACACACCCTAAATATAAATGTACAACACACATAAAATAGAATTAACATCACATACTAATTAATACTCTATACAATATGTATTGTCTTCTATTTTTTCATATGCTTTTGATAATATTTTCATATTTTCATGTGCCGATCGGACAAGCAAAAAGGTGCTGATTAATCTCCAATCTCTAGAATTGTGATTGATGTTGCACTTGAATTGTTTGCCGACCTCAACTATTCTTCGTCAACCTTTTTCAGAATTATGTTAGGTTTGTGGCGGTGGCTACAGTGCTAAAAATTCAGCATTGTGCTGATAACATACCGCAGGACACGGTGTTACTGGCATTATACAGTTTGCATTCATATAAAACTAACAATACATGCTATAGTTTTATACAGTATAATCAATACTTGATTTCAGCACACCACGTATTGTTATACAATACACTTGTATTATGAACCAACAACACAAATACAACACCTGAACTGACAGCACATGCTATAGTCTTATACAACACAAATACTAATTGATTTCAGCACACCACGTACTGTTATACAACACGCTGTAATTATGAAACAACATTATATGTCATTATTATACACAACATGTGCTATGCACAATTTGTTTCTATATATTACGGGTACTCCTGATTTTTTCAATTCAGTACCCTAACCGTTCTCTGAGTTTGTACCTTGTTTTCGAATTTGTTTCAACATAATAGTACTATAATTTAGACTTACTCAAACGGTTTAATTCGTCGATTACAATTTGTCAAAATATCAAATTGAAATTGAATTTTTCGAATGACGGTTTTGATTACGGTTTATAAACTGTCGGTTTCGGTTTGTCAAAATATCAAATCTAAATCAAACCTTCCGGATGACGATTTCGATTACGATTTGATGGTTTATAAATCGCCGGTTACTATTTGAATAGCCTATTTATATATATATATATATTCATTTTTAATATATTTTTTTCTTTTTTATTTTCTAAATTTGAATTTTATTTAAAAATAATTAAATTTGATATTAATTTTATTAAGATATATTTATTATGTAAAAATCTTATATATAAATAATTAATTAGATTGTTATATTATAAAAATAATTAAAATAATAAATTTAATGAATAATTAAATTAAATTTCAAATAAAAATAAATTAAATTTAATGATACTGATATGATAAAAAATAACAAATGATGCGTTTATTATTTCAATTTCATTTATCCTCTAAAAATTTCAGATCAAACATTCAATTTATTTATTTATTTTATTACACTTACGCCACCAGGTCGTCGTCGTCGTCTTCTTCTTCTTCTCGCCGGTTCAAACGGTAACCCGGCGGTTTGAACAGGGGTTTACTCGGTTTCGATTGAACCGGGGCCGCCGCCGTGCTCCTCTTTTTTCATATTTCTTCTCCCATTTCATTTTCATCTTACTCGTTTCCTCTCTTTTCTTATCGTCCTCTGTTCTTCCTTCTTCGTCACTCACGATTCACCATTACCGCCGTCCAGCCACAGAGCCGCCGTCTGTTGAGGTTTCAGAAAAGAAAAAAGGAAAAACAAAACTGGAAGTCCGTGCCGGCTGCCGTCGCTGACGTATTCAACGCCCAGCTTGAGACTATCTACTCTACAGCGTCTGCACAGTAGCAATTCAGTCCCAGACCGAAAAAGAAACTTCATTTTCGTGTATGGAGGAATCTACTTCCTACCCATCCATCGACCCTTCAAATTTTGATCTAATCGTCGTCGGTACTGGCCTCCCGGAGTCCATCGTTGCCGGCGCCGCCTCCGCCGCTGGAAAAACCGTCCTCCACCTCGATCCCAACCCCTTCTATGGCACTCACTACAGTTCCTTCCCCCTCAACGACCTAGTCTCCTTCCTCCAATCCGGCTCCCAAATTGTGCCCCAATCTCCACCATTTCAAACGTCGGATGAGTACGATTCAAATCCTCTCCTTGTTCGATCTATGTACTCGGATCTTGAAATCAGTTCCTACTCTTCCGAACCCACTGACTGTTCCAGAAAATTCAATGTCGACTTGGCAGGTCCTCGCGTCTTCCTGTGCTCCGATTCGATGATTGCTTTGATCCTCAAGACTGGTATTAATCAATACATGGAGTTCAAAAGCGTCGATGGGAACTTCGTGAGCGATGCTGAAGGCAAATTGGAGACTGTTCCAGATAGCCGGAGTGCCATCTTCAAGAGCCGCAATTTGTCCTTGCCTGAGAAGAATCAGTTAATGAAATTCTTCAAGCTCGTGCAAAGTCATTTAGGAAACGAAAGTGAGGACAGCAAAATTTCTGAACAGGATTTGGAGAGTCCATTTGTAGACTTCTTGACTAAAATGGGGTTGTCCCAGAAGCTGAAAACGTACGGATCAAGTATTGATTTTTTTACCCTATAGCTATTAAGAAATTGTTCTTTGCTTAGTCTCTTGTATATTGACTTGTTTCTTTGTTTGAGTTGATTGATTATTAGCGTGCTGTGATGTTACATGTTATGTTTTTCTATTTCTTCCTTGATAAGTTTTTGAATCTCATTTATTAGTTTGTTAAGCTTGTCCTTTTTATGTGCTCTTGATACTCTTTGATTCCTGAATGTCTTGCAATAAGTTGATAGTAATGAGTGTGTGTGGTTTGCTTTGTTTAAATATATTGAATTGCATTGTGAAGTAATTGGAGTTTCATTTAAATGACTTATTGTCTCGTAACTTTGGAACTTGTGAGCACTTTGTGTGTTGCCTGGCACCATGTGTTGTTGATCAATTGATTTCCTAAGTTCCAAAATGTTTTTGCATTGATTTCAATGGCTCAAAACATGATGGGATCTTACCATTTTTATGAAACTTCTCATTTCCTTTTGGATTTTGGTTTTCATCAATAAAGCTGATCCGTTGTCTTGAAAGAAAAAGTATTCAAACAGATGGCACCATTTGAATTTTAGCTTCATTAGCAATCGTTTCGATGGTTACTGTTTTGCTTAGATAAGTTATGGATTTCCACTAGGGTTGATTGTTGCTTTGTTGGTTGCTTTCACTATTCAGTTTCGATTTCTCCTGAAATTTTCTATTTGTCCTCCAGGATAATTTTGTACGCAATTGTAATGGCCAATTATGATCAAGAACACTTCGAAGTTTGTAAAGATGTTATCAATACTCGAACTGGGATAAATTGTTTGGCACTTTACCACTCGTCCATTGGCAGGTTAGTTCTCTTAAATTCCATTTGGATAGTTACCCGGGGATAATAAATTAGTATTGAGATTGTTGGAAGTGTCAGGAATTGTCTGCTGAAAAATGGAATCTGTTCATTTGCTTCAATGGTTTTAACCTTGCTTTGTTGTGATGACGAAATTGTGTGAGGCACAGACTAAACAAACTTAGAGTGGCTGAATCCTAAATGCTAGGCTTGAGCCTTCTTAGGCTCAAACAGGGCTTACAAATATCTCAGGCTAATGTCTTAATTGCATTTTACCAGTAGGCTTCACATATATAATGGAAGTACGGGTGGGGTTTGGACATGCTTGATTATGTTGATATGGCTTTTATAATCAGACATGAAGGTTAGTTTTGAATAAACATAGTGGAAGATACTTTGCTTCTGTCCCAGATTGCTTTGCAGTTGAAACTTGTGTTTTAGATGAAGAGAGCACTATGCATGTTGGCTTATTGGTCCATGTTAGGAAATTCCCATAGACATCTCAAACACTCGCCATAAATGTTTATTCAAAACGAACCTTCATCCTTTTTTGTATGCATCAGTCAAATTTTTGGGTTGGTTTTGTGTTAGATCACACTGTTTGGAACCTAGCTAAAACTGCAGTATCGAAATGCATGGGAGAATGTCTGATTGATTTTCTAGGAGCTATTTTCGCATCAGTGGGCCACGTCTAATGATTTGACAAAAATCCTCTGATCACTTTGATAGTTTAATGCTTATGCGAAAGATGTGTTTTGTGCTACGTAAAGATTTTAATGCTCTTTTTCTTTTCTCCACATGGGAGGTGACCTTGCATATTGCAAACTTGTGGAATGATTCTTAGTGATTTTTTTTTAGCTTTTCCAATTCAAGTACTTGCAACAATTTCTGTAGCAGTCCGTTGTAATGTTGTTTTGAGTGAGATAGTTTCCAAAACTTTTGAAATTAATGAATAAATGTATGTACATATAATTTTCAGAAAAATATATCCTAACAATTTTGTTTTAGCTCATATCTCATTCAAATGCTTGTATTTACTTTATTTGAGGCATTCTCATTGCTCTCAATGACATGCTAAGACCCTGCAATTAATATTATTTACTGTAGTATATTAGTTAGTTAAAATACTATCCACTTAAAAAAATAAAGTGAGGTGTGTTTTTAGATGGTTGAATTTAGCATGCAATGAATTCATTTGTAAGTGCCAAATGTGATTGTTTAAATATTCATACATATCGTCGAAGAGTTAAAACATGGCAGATCTGAATTAGATTCTTTGGCTCAACCTTTTTGTAGGTTTTCTAATGCAAATGGTGCTGTGATATATCCCATTTATGGCCAAGGGGAACTTCCTCAATCTTTCTGCCGCCGTGCTGCTGTTAAAGGATGCATTCATGTCAGTATATCTACATATTTTGGATTGCTGATGAGTTAAACATCAACCTATGTGTTTTTTACCTTTTCTGCCACTGCTTTGAGTACGATACTAGTACATGATGAAAATAGGTTCAATTAGTCTGTTTTTTCACTTTCTCTTTGCTGCACTGTTGTGCACCAGCTTTTGATCAATAACTATTCAGTGCTTTTTCGGTCAACATTGAAAATTTTCCAAATAACCGAATTTACGGCCCGGTATAAAGGAATTATTAGAAAAGTTTGTTGAATTTATATGGTAGGTTGTGACAGGAGAGTGAGTTTTAAGCCCTTATGCTAAGCAGTAAAGGTTGGGATGCATGTTATTATGATAAAATATCGGGCAGCCTCCTTGCTAAGATTGCTGAGCTTGGAAGATCATTTGGTGCCAGTAATAGGAACTGTGTGGGTGACCAAAGTATCTAAAACCCTTCATCAAGTCCTTTCAATAATATTTTGACCCTATTTTAATGTGAACCTGTTTCTCAAGGATTAAAGAGTTTGTATGATTTTTAAAAAGGTGAAGTGGATTTTATATTTTATTTATTTGGTTCTACCGGCACTTGCTAAGGCTTATCTCGTTGTTTAGCTTTGACTTGCCAAATGTACCTTTAATCTCTTGTCGTGAAGATGAAGTTCTAAGGTCGTTTAAATGGTTCTTGTGTATTCCTTTTAAACCTAAATGCATTACACCCTTGACTGTACCCATGTGTATGGAATTTGTCTTTCCCTTTGAAATTGGATCTCACCAATTGTAGGCCATAATAATATTAGGCCTTGTATTTGCCTTTTCTTCTGACTTACACGTTTCTAATTTCTATGTAATACTTTGAATATGCAGGTTTTGCGCATGCCTGTTGTGGCTGTACTTACGAATAAGGTTAGAATTGGTTTCACTACGGAACCATTGCATGAGTTCTTTACTAATTGGATACATCATGCATGGGATGCTCTCGAAGTTACATATAGCACGCACGAAAATTTTTTCCTACCTACCACTATGCAGACATTTGTATCACTTCTGATCCCGATTTGAACTTTCACAGGATGATGGTTCATATAAGGGCGTTAAATTAGTTTCTGGACAGGAATTATACAGCTCTCAACTCATTCTTGCCCCCTCTTTCAAGATTGAGTTTTCAAATTCTTATGCATCTGTGGCAAACTTTCGTGATTGCAAAAAGAAGGTTGCTCGGGGGATTTGCATTGCAAAGAATTCTATAAAACAGGAAGCTGCCAATTGTCTCGTGTTTTTTCCACCCAAATGTAAGCATGGTTTCCTTAATTATTGTATTATTTTCAAAATCTTGATTTGATAAGTAATCTTCACTTGCAGCATTGTATGAGGAACAAAAGACGTGTGTCCATGTACTCCAATTAAGTAGCAACGTGGCTGCTTGCCCCGTCGGGATGTAGGTTTTCTCTCATTTCATGCTTGTAGCACTTGAGGTGTAAATAATATCCTTTTCCATCCATTAAATAGAATTAATCCCCAATGCTTGAATGCCTGTTTTGTCTGTGTAACAGTTTGCAACATTTAGCAGTGCTACTAGAAACTTGTGCTGACTTTCTTGAAAGATAACTTTGTGTCTGTGTTTATGAAGTTCCATAAATTTCCTTAAGTCAACCCTTGTTATATTGATAACCATTTCATTTATCAGGTTTGTGACTTATCTATCCGTTATTTGTGATGATCCTGTCGAGGGGAAGAAATCACTTACCACAGCCATAAATGCGTTGTTCTCTGGGCCTATTTCCTCTTCTGAAAGGAATAGCCCTGATGATTCAAGCAATCAAGCAGAAGACAAGCCGAGTTTGCTCTGGAGTGCTTTGTATATTCAAGAATTAAATTCGGTTTGCTTCTTGTCTTTTGAAATTTTAAATTTTCACCTCTGGTTTTGATTAACTGTCGCAGTGACAGTCTGCATTTGCTTCCACTGTGTATGCTGATATATCAGGTTTATGATAAGCTTTCTAAATTCACTATTATGTTAACGAATTAATATATATATTTTCGTATCACTGGTTATACAGACCTATTGAATGAAATCTGAGGGTAGTGAAATCAGTAGGAGAAAGAAATTGATGAATTTAATATACATATCTTCGGTATTTTTATATTGCTTGGGAATGGTTTGTTACAAATGTGAATTTAGCATTATTTGCATCGATTATCATTTCAACTAAATGCTGGTGACCAAGTAACGTGTCTGTTTCACATTAAATAGTAGTTCGCCACTAGTCTGTAAAATGCATCTATGGTGCTCCTTTGATTTTATGTTGACTCCTGTTTATTTTGCTTAGATTCGTCATCCATGACAAATTTCTTTCATGATTTCACTTTCAGTTTTCGGATCCTTTGGATTCCATCAGCTACACTACAATGCCGGATGAGCATCTAAATTATGATACTCTCCTTGTCGCAACAGAAATGGTAGCTATTCCTTTTCTACCTATATTTTGTGATTTAGGTCTCGGAGGAATACATTTGTTATGTCTAGGGTCAATGACATGTTCGAGATTTCATGAACGTAAGTTCCTTCTTGCACATTGGGTATCACCCAATGACCTCTTACCTTGTTTCCCTGCAGTTATTCCGAAAGATTTATCCCAATGAAGACTTCTTCGCAATGACAACCAACTCATCCGAGGAGCATCAAGATGATGATTGTCCGGAGCCAAATTCATAGAAAAAGGTCGCTCTTGTGTTCTCAAATGGTATAAATGAAATTTCCTACCAAATCTTTGGATTGCTAACAACATTTCTTAGTGAAGATGAATTTGAATTAGCAGAGATTCCATGGTTTGTTTTCTCAGTTCTAATCAATTATTATTACAGCACATTTTTCTGGAATCGAGGGTGTGTTTCTTTGGGCTTGGATTGGAAAGATTTGGTGTCGATGTTATATTAAAGTAATATTTGATGAGATATAATGTGAGAGTCGATAATATATGGTTCTTAGAGGCTAGTGCTCCAGGTTCAACCATAGAAGAATGAATTTGTTAAATATTTTTGGTGATTTTGAAAACCATGGATGTTATTATTAGATTGGACATAATCAATTGGCCTACTATTTTTTGTTGATGAAGGTTCTTTTATTAGCATATTTTGGTGGTTATGATTTTGATCATATTTTATTTGTATAATCATATAAATTGAATTTTGATCATATTTTATTTGTATAATCATATAAATTGAATTTTGATCATCTTTAAAGTTTCTTGGTGAGAATAGACTTTTGAAATGGCTTTCATCAGTGCAACAAAGTTTAAGTTTTGCCATTATCATTTTTGGGGCTAATATATTGAAAATAAAAGATAAAATTATAAATTAAGAAATTTTAAAATATAATTAAAGTTTATAATTATTTTTTTAAAAATAGTAGATACTTTTTGCATTCTGAGTAAATTTTTAACTAAATATAATAATCTATAAACTAAATCCGAGTAAAATTTCAACTGACTATAATATTCTGTAAATTAAATCCGAGTAAATTTTTAACTGATTATAATAATCTGTAAACTAAACTCTGGTAAGGCAATCAATCACTTATTTTGACCCTACTTCATATTGTTTCTAAAGATATTGTGTACATTTAAGTATTGTTTTTGTATTTTTTTGTAAAGTTATAATTGGAATTTTTATAGGATTAGTAATGTAATTTTTAAATTAAAATAAGAGATGTCTATAAGAAGTATGTGGGTCACTAGTGAATATAATGTAAATAGATGAAAAAAATAAAAATAAAAATAAAAATAGTAAGTAATAAAATTGTTAATTATAAATAATTATTTCAGCTATTTGAATAATTGATTTTTCATAAGAATTATGTTGTACTTGTGGGAAGCATTTACATAGACTTTCAAAATAAAGAAAAAAAAATATACTACTCCATTTGATAAATTTTATCTTTTTTTTTTTTTCTGTAAAAGTAAAAAAAAAAAAGAAAGATTAATTTTGACAAATAGAGAGAAATATTTTAGTATATATTTGATGAATTATTTCTAAAAAACATTATTATTGATAAATAATAACAAAACCCGTAATAGTAATAGTTCTTGTGTAAATAGAGTTGAAACATAATAAAATTTACAGTATAATAATTAATCTTTTATTTTTTTTATTCACTTAATTTTGGGTGTACTTACTTTATGAAATGTTTTGATTTTGTAATTTGTGTTTCTTGTAAAATAATTGTTAGACATGATTATTTGTATGACAAAATAATGTACTTTTTTGAATTTTTGTAGCATAATAAAAATAATATTAATATTTTATTAGTTAATGTATGTGTGTAAGATGATTTTGAGATTTGTATATATATAATAATTGATTTTATATGCAATGATATATTTGTAATTATATACCACATAAGAATATTTTAGTATTAGTATACAATTATTTTTAACATAATATGGAAAAAAAAAGGGATAAAAAAATACTTTCAATTAGTATGAGTGTAGTAAAGTAGAAATATTATAAAAATTTATTAAAGACATTAACAAATAATAGAATAAGTAAATAAAGTAAAGACAAATGAGTTATTATCAAAATAGGGATAGTGATAATAAAATTATGAGTAGATAAAATTATTTATTATAAATAAATTATACATAAATTTAACGATAATTAAAGAAAATATTGATATAAATATTTCGGACTGACAGAATATATATATATATATTATACTATAATGAATCATCAAGTTGCATAATTATTGAAAACAAAATTAAAAATAATAAAAGTGGAAAAAGCCTTTAATTCATGAGTTTATGCATGAAACATTTGAACTCAAAAAGAGGGAATAAGCATCACATAAATCATGAATCCAAAATCACATGAAACTACACTATATCAAAAACTTGTGTGTCAAGAATCTTTGTTAAAGTAATTTATTTTTATTTTTATTTTTTATTTTTTTAAAAAAACTCCCTATAAATTAGACCTATTTGCTTGCTTGCTTGCTATAAGTCGAGTAAACTCAATCGAACAAAGGTAATAATAAAAATGGCAATCTCTAGAATTGGCTTTGTAGTTTTATACTTGACCGTAGTTTTCGCGAGCTTCATCGCCTTCAGCTCCACCGTGGCATTGGGGCAATGCCGAGGGGACTTCCAAGGCCTTGTAAGACAATGCTCGAGATTTGTTCAAAAAACGGGACCAAAATCCAACCCGTCTTCAGAATGTTGCAATGTTGTCAAGAACGTCGATTTTCAATGCGTATGTCAGCATGTCACCGGCGAAGTCGAGCAAATTATTAGCATGGAGAAAGCAGTATACGTCGCAGCTTCTTGCGGGAGACCCCTTGTTCATGGAACTAAATGTGGAAGTAAGAAAATTACGAGTTTACTTGTGTGTGTCTTTTTTTTTCATGTTATCAAAAAATAAATTTTTTCCTAACAAAAAAAGAAAAGAAAAGTTGCCTTCATACTTACTTTTACATTAAAATGATCACATCTAAAATATACTATCTCAGTTTCATATCTATCTATTCGTTTATTTTTTGTACGGAGTTTTATAAATATTAATATTATATTGAAATATAGTAAAAATAAAGATAAAAAGACTAAACTAACCTTATTAGTATTGTATGACATAAAGATAATGACATTTCTGTACTATATTGTAAATTAGAAGAGTATTTGTAATATTAGGTAGATGGTACAATTACTAAAAAAAAATTATACTTTGTTATGAGACAGACCAAAATGAAAAAATAGATAAATCGTTAATGGACAGAAAAAATATTTTTATTAAGAAAAATCATTGAAAGCATAAACAAACACAACATTCTCTCTTTATATATACATATACGACGACAACTACGATACTATTAAATATAATCATGCTGATAGTACAATAATATATATTCATATAATACAAAACATTATACTATATAAATCTATACGTTATCTATAATATTTTTATGTACTGATTGAGACAATAAATATGGTACTGATAAATCCCGATCTATATTATATAAAGCTTTATTATTTAATATTTGCATATATTGTTGCAAAAGTGATGAGTTTGAGTAACTATGTTAAATTGATTGCAGGTTATACAGTTCCCATGAAGGAAGAAATCGATCAAGTGATTATATGAAATTTCAATGGTATAATAATGATAGTAATAATATTATTAATTAATGTGTGAAGATTATATATATTAATTTGAGCACTACATTGTACTGATCGATCACATTTGATTCTAATGGTTTTGGATAATATTTACTTTGGCCTCAAATTCAATGATTATATTGGATAACATTACTTAATTTTTGTTCATGGATGGGCATGGCTGGAGATGTTAAACGAACCGAGCCGTTCGTGAACTCGGCTCAGTTCGGCTCGATTCAGCTCGGTTAAAGCTCGTTCGCGAACGTTAACGAGCCGAGCCGAACAACATAAACAGACTCGTTTGGTTAACGAACGAGCCCGAGCTTTGTTCGCGAATATTCGTTTAAATAATATATTTATTATAAATATTATATATACATATAAAATTATAATTTATAAATAAATAAAATATTAATTTAAATATATAAATAAAATAATTTTAATTTTTTTTTGTAATTTATATATAAATTTAAAAAAATAAGACAAACGAGCTCGAACGAGTCTAAACGAGCCGAACACGAATATGAGCTCAAACAACAAAATTTTTTAACAAGCCGAACTCGAACACTACGAACGAGCTCGAAAGCTTAACGAACAAACACGAATCTTGTTCGTGAACGTTAACGAACACTTAAATTTGGCTCAGCTCGGCTCGGATCGTTAACAGCTCTAGGCATGGCTAAGAAGTTTAAAATTCAATAATAATAATAATAATAATCGCCTAAAGAAACAAGGTTATGTTTGGTTTGAATTTTTTTCTTAATAAAAAAATTTACCCACGCCTCTCGATAAAAAAATATACTCTTTCCGTCTTATAAGAAGGATTCTATTTTTCATTTTCATCTGTCCCAAAACAAGGATACCATTTCCTAATTTAGTAATTGTATTACATATCTAACATAATAAATACCCTTCCAACTTATAAAATATTACACAAATGTCACCATCTTTATATTACACAATACTAATAAGAATATTTTCGTCTTTTTTACTACAATATAATATAATAGTAATATTAAAAAATCTACATGCAAAAAACAAACGTTACTCTTTATATGGAACGGATGAAGTGTATATCTTTACTAAATAATACATCAAATCATTGTTATATAAACTTAAATTAATGGATCCTCTGTCCCATTAACACTCCCTATCCTCCCAATATATTATACATACACACGTGTGTATATATTACGTGTGTGGGGATAGATGGATAAGATTTATTTTTAGGAGAGAGGATTACACAGGACTATAAGCTTACACTTTATAGATGTGCCGTTTTTTTATATTTTATATATTGAAATCAATTATAGTATATGTTGTATGAACTATTATAAATATATATATTTATATTATATTAACACATTTTTATACTGTCTATTTTTTTTTTTTATAGCTTCAGTTAGAATATTAATCGAGGATTTATCAATATCATGCTGATTAAATTATTAGTATGTGCTTTCAATTAAGTTTTATATGTATATCAAAAATTTATATATAATATAATGTATATTATTATACTATTACCACAATACTAATTATATTTATAGGGTGTTTGACAAAGAACTTTTTGAAAAGCTTTTAGCTTATTGAATAATGTTTGACCAATCAAACAACTAATTTAGGTGTTTGGTAAATTAATTTTTTAGAATAGCTTTTCGGACTTAAAAAAACTAATTTCTCTAACTTACCCAGCGTTGAAATAGTTTTTCCGTATAAATATTTTTATTCTTTCATTTGCCCTTAAAAATTTATTATGCATTTTACACTAATAAATATATTTTGATTATTTATTAATTATATTAGAATATTTTATTATATTATAGTTTTACTTTTATAAATTAATTTTTATATATAAATTATTTAATTAAAAAATATATAAAAAATTTAATAAAATCAACACAAAATAGAAAATATAAATATTAATAATTTATTTTTATATTAAAATTACATTATATAAATTTTATACTAAAAATAAATTAAATTTATTAAAAATTATAAATATAATGAACTAATCGATAATTAATATATAAATATATACATAAAAAATTTATTATTTTATATTTTACATCACTTTCAATAAAAAATAAACTATTTAAATTTTTCGATAAAAATATATTATGTTTTAAATCTAACTATAATAAAAATAAATATTATTTTATAACACTTTTACAAATTTCAATAACTAATAACAAAAAATTTCAAACATTCTAAACTCAAAAGAACACAATTGAATATATTAGAAAAAATTAAATAGAAATATCATCGATTGTCATTTTATGTATAAACAACTAATATCAAACAGTTGTTTTACCAAACATTTTAATACAAACAACTAATCGAATTAGCTAGTGAAATCAGCTAATTGAATCAGTTAACAGCTATCAGTTAATTGAATCGCCAAACATGCCCTTAATCATCACCATAACCATTGCATTTTCTTTTTCTCTTTTTTTTTTTCCTTCCAAATTTAAACATAAACATAAATGAACAAATAGTAAATGTTTCTTACCCAAATGAAAGAGTTCAAATTAATTTAAATACATAAAAATAATGTTCTAACATAATAAATAGTAAGATGAGATATCGACATGGTGATGGTCTCAAATTAAAATTTAAATCTCTGTTGTCACTACATCGGACAAGGATATATAGGTACATATTATCAAACATCGATCAAATTAAGAATGTATTATTCTCGATTGCCCCCGACTCGAAAGGTTTGAATCTCGATAGTAGGATTCAAATAGTTAGATGCCAACTCCCTCATTGATTTTGTCAACCTTTGATGAATCGAAAGCTATCCCCAACCTTCTTCGTTTCGGCATTCACAAACTACAAAAAATATTCAAACATTGTAAGAAAATGCGGAAGAGTGAATAAATGTATAAGAAACATATTATAAGATATCCAAGTTAGTTAGCTAAGTTGGAAAAAAAACCTCGATTTTGAGCTCTTTGGGCGTCGCATGGGCCCTAATGTAGCCGAACTCAGATATCCGAGACAAGCTCCAACTGTTGTCCTACAAGATTTGTCGAAAGAAAGTTATACCAAGTACCTTTCAGACATTATTTATGCTACATTTTGAAGAATTTAAGAGTGAATTTATTATTAATAATGAAATCGTCGTAGACTCAAATAATAACCTAATCTAATATATATAATAAAATAATAACGGTTTGATGTAGATAAAAAAAAAATCTAATCTAAACTATAAATTAAATATCTAAACTATATCAACCATTTCGATTAATTTCATTATTCAAAAGTTGTTATATATGGGAAGAAAAAGGCTTACATTCTGAGTAAATCCGTCGAGCTTAAATCCAGCCATTCCGATGATGGCGTGGACTGGTGCAGCATAGTTGCTGTTATTGTACGTGTCGATTGAATTTTCATCTTTCTTCGGCATTGCTTTGCATTCTTGCTTGTAGACAGCGCACGTTCGTTCGTAGTTGTGGACATGCCCAAACAACGCAAGATCGACCTAGTTCATGTCGAGAGGATTAGATGATCGTATTACCTAAAAGTTTAACCTAGTAGAAATATGCATCATTAATTTATATATTATATATCAACCACTGAGTGTTAAATAACAGTTTCATCTAGAAAATTAATCTGGTAGAAATATATAAAAAATAATTTACATATTATATGTCAATCATTGAGTGTTAAATGATAATTTCATCTAAAAGCTTAATCTAGTAAGTATATGCATCATTAATTTATATATTATATGTCAACCATTAAGTGTTAAATGATAATTTCACCTCAAAATTTAACATAACAGAGATATGCATCGATAATTTACATATTAGATATCAACTAACATCGAAAAAAATCAAAAAATAATGACATGATAAATGAAGCTATCTAATCCTCAGCCCGACTCTCATTACCTTGTTTTCCAGCAGCAATGGCTCGACAGCATCGACAAAATCCTCGTCGACGCTAGGGAGAATGGCTAGCCCCGGATTGGATGAATACATCGGCCGATGCCTACATTTGATAAAAAAAATATTAAGGTTGTAGTAAAATAATGCTACCTTAGCCGAAAAGTCAATATTGATTAATGAGTGTACCCGGCGAAAATTAGCCAAGGGGTTCGTGTTCGTTTGACTGCCGCCATGTCCTTCTTCATCCATTCATACTAGTCGTCGAATAATTGCATTGCATGTGTAGAATCATATGAATAAAGTAAAAACCACTTAAACCAAACTAAAAAAAAAAGAAAAGACGAGCCTAAGGTGTCGAAAGGGCAATAAACATACAACGATGAAAGTCTGAAACTACCTGCTCGGAATTCACGGACCAATTGTGCTCGGTCGAGATGACGGTAAAATGAACACTTCCTTGCTCTATAGAGTACCATGGCTTATCCTTCTCCGCCGATGGCATTGGGAAGTATGTCTCGTAAGGAATGCCGCATTCGCCACCCGAGTCGGGAGTAATGTAGACTGATCCTGACCCGACATAGTCCCTACAAACACGATATATATTTAGAAAATATTCGAAGATGAATCTATTAACATGTTTTTGATGCCGATTGCATGAATCAAGATAGCCGAACAAAAGAAAATTTGCTGATCAATTTTATTAATGAAAAATAATTTTTTGACACTATTCTCAATATATATTTTATTCTATCACAAAAGACAACATTCAACATAAAATAATTTTTTTTTTTTATATTATCGGCAGAATTATCTATACTTCACATAAAAAAATCAAATCAAAATACTAAAGAAACAAACCCAAAAACTTAATAGGAAAAGGAACAACTAATTATTCATGGCGGCGCTGAATGTAAAATTCAACATTGTATTGAATAGCACACCGTGTGCTACAAGACAACACACGATGTTACCATAAACAACACACAATATAATTTAATATAATACAAATACAATACATGATCCAACAATACATGATATAGTCTCACACAACATATACAATACTTGATTTTAACACATCACCGTACTCTCATACAACACACGCTATGATTATGAACTAACAACACATGCTTTTATTACAAACAACACATGTTGTATATAATAAAGACATGCGTTGTTTCTATATTTTACGTGTGCTGATTTTTCAAATTCAGCACCCTAACCTTCCCATTTATTCATAGTTTAAAAAATCCTAAAGTTCCGAAGAAATAAACCTAAGAAAAGGGAAAATTGAAGAATAAATTTGAAAAAAGAAACCTTGAAAAATAGAAAAAAATAGCATCTAATTTAAGACTCTAAATGATCTCGAATGGTAAAAAAAAAAAAAAAAACAGAACATCGGGGCAGCATTGCACCAACATTTTGTTTGTTTCGTCGTTTCGAATTAACCATGTGAACTTCATCCAATTTCAAGTTAGGACACAAAAGTATGGAAAAGTCGGCGAATTGCATCACATTTTATTTATTTTATTAGGACAAAAGAAATACCTCTCATGGTTGCCTATGGCTGTCATGTAAGAAACTTTGGAGGCTAAGGGAGAGATGAGGTGAAGGAAGAAGTCCCATTCTGCTAGAAAACCAGTTGCATAGCTTATGTCTCCGATGTGAAATATCGAGTCGATTTCACCCGATGATATTTCCGTATCCATGGCTTTTATAACCGATACTGATCCTGGCTATATATACACACATATATATATATTGCTCGATTCAATTCGCCTACTAAATTACGATGTTATTTTCATAGTGTATGTAAGTAAATACGTACTTGTATGAAGTGTTCGGCTGAAGAGTCGAGAGGAGCCTTGCCCATGTCGCCGTAGGCGAGAAACTTGACCTCGTTCGATCCCCCGGCTGGCGGGGTCTTGAATGTAATTTCATCGCTCCAACCGACTAAATCGCTGCGTATAAATTCACACAAATGCATATAAATTAAATGTACTATTTTATTTATAAGTACGGCGCTGATTAGCCCTATTCGGAGTGTAGTAATAGTATAGACAACAGACACCCTTATTTGGACGATTAGAATGAAGACTACTACTTCTGTCCTGCTCTAAATGTCTCATTTACTTTTTGCGTGTTAATATTTGAATATAAATTATTATATTAAAACGCAGTACAAATAAAGAAAAAATTGTAAAAATACTTCCCCATTAGTGTCTTATAATACTAATAGAAGAAAATGTGTACAATTTTTACAAATGTAAAGATATTTTTAATGTTAAGTACAATGACGCAGAAGGTAAGTATGACCCTTAGAGACGGGCAGAGGGAATATTATTTTATTCAACATAATTACATGATGACTATAGTTGATCAAAACTCGAAATTGATTAAAGTTGCTTCAATAATACACTAATTGAAGATACTTAATCTACCTAGATGATGGGTAGTAATAATTTATCTCAAGTATTATTTGTACTAAAATTGATAATAATATGTATTTAATCAAACAAAATAAATATGTTAGCAATTAATCTCGTGATTATATCACTACAAGAAAATATCATTTTTGTAACGAGATTTTTTCATTCTTAAATCTAATTTTTCCGTTACTAATGACATTAGAGACGGAATGAGGGATAAAATTACGTTAGCTACGTACACTTTAGGAACAGAATTCCGTTACAAATATACGATTTTTTTTTTTAGTGTATAATCATATAGTAATGTTTTACTTAGCGCATGTTAACATGAACAAATTTACTGTCTGAATTGACGATATATGATAATAACATAAAGCACGCAATAATGTTGATATAACTCTAATGTCTAGCCAACTTAATAATTCCCATTTCTAATCACAACATTATTCATGTGTTTGTTTGAGGGATTTTGTTAGATTTTTATTATTAATAAAAAAAAATTCCAAACAAAAAACTAAATCAACTATTTATTTTTTATTTTTTATATTATACAAAAAATCAATTTTACATTTAAAATATCAGATCAATACTTATTTATATCACGTCATACAATTATTTTAATTCAAAAATTGTACTGTTCAAATCTCAAATCAAAATCCAAACCCTCAAACAAACACACCATACATGTCTCTCTATTCATCGGTTTGAATTAATTCGATAATAAGCTAAGTAGCTAGATCGAGCTATAAAGCCATTCAACTGTTCACGAACTTGATTCGATTCACTAACAACTCTAACAACGAAGAAGAAATACACACATACATACATACATACCTTCCATATTTATACGAGTATTTTGTAGAAGGGGCGAGGCCCGTCATTACAGCCGAGTGAATATATCCCGGGTCGTGCCAACCAAAATCAGCAGCCGGGCTTTCGATTACAGAATCTACACAAACACACATCGTTTGTCTCCATTAGGACAAAATCAATGTAAGAAAATGCATATACGTAGTTCAACATATTTATTTAACAATCTAGCGATGACATACTAGTACACATCTCGGCCTGTGAGAAAGTCGAGACCGAGGATGTCAATGTCTTCCCATTTGCATAATTCACTTGTTGCGGCTTTCGATCTCCACTCACCCACGTCACTCTCATCTATCGCCAATTTTGAAGTCAGTACTAAGGTATAACATAACATAATTTGAATCTTAAATGGATACTTAGTTACAAGACATTAAATTTAATTACAAAAAAAAAAATAATAAAAACATTGTTGCATTATGTATATATATAGATAGATAGATAGATGGATAGATACCGATGTTCCAGTGGAGTCTATGCTCGATAAGTGTCCGTACAAGGGCTTGTTTGGCTTTGCGAAGCTCATTGCGCCGGATCTTTTCAAAATGCACGGTGTCTGAAAACCCCCGCCAAACATAACAAACTCTATGTCTGTCCGGATGTTGATGACGTGAAATGTCAGCGTGGCGCCGCACGTCGACAAGACACATTTTCCGGCGACATGTTTCTTGCATTCTTGCTTGCTGCAGTTGAGGTATTCTGGATCATTGCTGACATATTGAGCCTGTATATCATGCACTAAAATTAAGTACATACGAGAATTTAGGTAGAATATAATTAGTAAATACTATTATTATATAATATAAATAATTACTCTATTCGTCTGCCTCTAAATGTCACATTTACCTTTTGCGTCATTGTACTTAACACTAATAATATCTTTATATTTGTATAATTTTTTTATATAAATGCAGTTCTATTAATATTATAAGACACTAGTACAAATATTATTGTAATTTTTTCTTAATTTGTATTACATTTTAGTATAATAATTAATATTCAAAGATGAGATAAACACAGCAAAAAAAAAGGACCCTTAGAGCGAATGAGATTAAAATAAATAATTAATTTAATTAAAATTATAAAAATATTGATTATAAAACTTAAAATATAATTAAAATGTATAATTATCTTTAAAAAATGAAAAATAAAGGAGAATAGACGAAAATAAAAATAATTGACGAATGAACGGAACCGAGGAAATAATATTTCGAATGAAGAGTAATTGTGTTGAGTAAAAAAAATATATAAAAATATCAGTATGATTTATGCTATGAATAAATACAAATAAATATATTTATGACTCATAAGATAAAACATATTCCCTCCGTCCGACCTACCATGTCCACGTTGCCATTTTTGTTCATCCTACATTCCATGGCACTTTTTTTTTTTGGAAAATAATTATACACTTTAATCTCATTTTAAATTTTCTAATTTAATTTTAATATAACTAATTAGTTATCTTAATCTTAATCTATAATTATTTATATTATAAGATAATTCACTAATACATTCTTAATTATCTACTAATTATACTTATTTTAAATTCTCGTGTCTACCGTGACCAGACATCCAACGCGAGACAGAAGGAGTATTTTTTTTTCGAGAACCTAATAATAATAACATATAAGATCAAAATGGGGTCTGTATTGTTTGTTTGTTTAATGTTTTAGTTTGATCTTTTTTTTTTAACATAAAATACAATGAATTGTATTGATAATATAAAATATAATATTTTAAATTAAATGTTAACTCTTTGTAAAATAATAGAATATATATATTTATATATTGAGAATTACGTTGATAAATGTGTTGAATGATAAATTTGTTCACTTAACAATTTTTTATTTTCACAATTTCCTATAAATATTATAAAAATAATATCTACATATATTAACATAATATATAAAATATATATTTTATTATTCACAAAAATTTAATAATTTAATATTAAGTATTATATATTTATATTATTAACGCAATTCCTCGTATTTAACATAAAAAATACATTTATTTAAAAAAAAAAAAACGTGAACTCACGTTACTCATTTTATTTTAATTATTAAATTAACTAACAATAATTTTATTTTAATCAACATATGCTGATTAATTTAATGTTAATCAATTATAAGGATCTTGTGAGATCACTGCATAGTAATAAATTAAATGATATTTGATTAATTGACAAATTAATATGGCAGAACGTAGTGACCACGACATGGATTTAATTTATTAACTATCTAGAGTTGACCGGGAATTCAACTTCTATTTTTTATTTTCTAAATTATACAAAATTTACGCGTGGTTTCACGAAATTGTACAAAAATTTCATAATTTTAAAACTGCGTCAAACTCCCTCGACTGTCCTTATTTAACGGTATTTGATTTAAATGCGCTCAAACTGTGAATAAATTTTAAAATCTCAATTTCTAAACCCCTAAAATTACAAATATATATATATATATATTTATATTTAGCCTAAAAAACAGTAAAAATAAATTCTTAAAACCTGAGAAAAATAACTACTTTTGAGTATATTTACCATTTTTTTAAGCTAAATATAAGAAAAATAAATATATTAGTAATTTTAGGGGTTTAGAAATTGAGATTCTAAAATTTATTCGCAATTTGAACGCGTTTAGGTCAAATATCGTTAAATAACGACTGCCGAGAGGGTTAGACACAGAGTTTATGAAACCACGAGGGAGTTTGACGCAGTTTTAGAAGTATAGGGGATTTGACGCAATTTCATAAAACCACAGGAAAATTTTGTGCAATTTAGTTTTTTTTTTTTTTTTTTTCAATTTATAATTATACATTTTTTACAAAAATACTACCTCCGTCCAGTTTTAAAGTCTCATTTACTTTTTGCATTTTAATCTTTAAATATTAATTATTATATGAAAACTAGTGCAAATAAAAAGAAAATGACAAAAATACTTTTATTAGTATCTTATGATACTATTATAAAGACATTTGTGCATAAAATTATACAAATATAAGAATATTTTTAATGTTAAATACTATAACGCCAAAGGTAAATGAGACACTTAAAGCCGGACGGATGAAATATATTTTTTTAACAAACGTTTGTTAAAAATAATGACACTCATTATTAGAAAAAAAGATAAATAAATAAAAAATAAAAATACAAACACTAAGCCAAAATAGACAACTTAATTATTTAAATATGATTAACTATATATATTGGAAATTATATTTGGATGGGAACAAAAAAATAATTCAAAGGTTTTCAATTAGTCGATGAATCGTGGACTTTTTATTCATGTGATTTTTTTCTTACAACATAAGCTGGCTTAATAAATAAATTTATTAATGTCAAAGAAACATGTTTTTAGATAATAAAAATAATAATAATAATAATATTGTAAATTTATAAACAATGCAAAAAACACAAATACATTTTCCCAAAAAATATTAATATATTATATATATATTTATTATTTTTATATTATTTATATAATTTCTTATACTTCACGTAAAAAAATTATCGTTTTTAACTATTCCACGAAACAAACACATCTAATGTGTTTTTTTATATTATAATGTACGGATAATTGTATTGATAATATAAAAGTTATTTAATATTGAATTGTTATCTTTTATGAGTAGATAGAATATATATTGTGTTAATATATATATATATTATACTAGTAATTTTTTGTAATATTCATCGTAAATCGTAAAACAAAAAATAGTTTAGGTTAACAAACCGTATGAATATTCGATCGAGTAATATTATTTTATTGACAGATATTTTGATATTTTTTTCTTTGACTTTATATATAAAGAATTTGTATATGTAATAATATATTTTAATGTAAGTAAAAATTAATGACATTTTGACTTTATTAATATATTATTAATAACAAACACATCCTTGCTATTTTTTTCTAACAAAAATTTATATCAAATTACAACAATTTAAATGAAAACTAAAAATAAAACCTAAAGTAGACAATGGCATAATTCCCGTGTTGACAAATCCGTGATTTATATTAATTCATAGATTAAATTTGATTTTTTTTTTTATTTAAATACTATTTTTGAGGTCATAACTTTTTTTGAAAAAATACTACATATGTCCCGTTCTAAGCGTTTCATTTACTTTTTGCGTAATGATATTTGAATACTCCCTCCGTTCCATAATTTAGATATTCATTTGCTTTTTGCACGTAGTTTTAAAAATATTAATATTATATTAGGATATAGTAGAAATAAAATAGAAATGACTAAAATAACTATATTAGTATGGTGTGATATAAAGGTAATGATATTTGTGTAATATATTGTAAATTGTAAGGGTATTTGTAATGTTATGTAAATAATACAATTACTAAAAAAAAGGAAATTGATATTTTGTTATGAGACGAACTAAAATGGAAAAATAAATATTTTGTTATGAGACAGAGGGAGTAGTAATTATCATATCAAAACATAGTATAAATTAAAAAAAAAAACACAAAAATATTTTCATTGGTATCTTGTATTAATACTAATAGAAGGACATTTGTATAAAAAATTATACAAATATAAATATATTTTTAATGTCAAGTACAGTAATGCAAAAAATAAATATTATCCTTAAAGATGGAGGAGAGATAATAATATATTTTTATTAAAATTATATATAATAAATAATACTCCCTCCGTCCACTTACAATGTTTACATATTTCTATTTTGGGACGTTCAATTACAAAGTTAACATTTCATTAAATACCCTACTCTTTTTCCACAGATACTCTTACTTTACGTCACATCATTACTTTTACATAAAAAAAAATAAGAGCAAAAATGTCATTATACTATTTTTAACTACTAACTATAATTAAAATATTATTATTTCTTAAACACTGCGCCAAAAATAAATGTAAACTTTGTAAATGGACGGAGGGAGTATTAATTTAAATTTAAAATAAATAAATAAATATAGGTTGAGAAAGTGGCTTTAATTACCTTAACTGGATAATGGCACAAAAGAGGAAGAGTGCTGAAGTCACCAGTCTGTTGATACATGATTGAATTCCCCAAGCAAGTATCCACACTGCACACCACCACCGTAACAAATCAATTAATATTCCAAAATATATGAAAATTAATACTCTTTCCGTTCCAAAAGTATATTCTTATTATTTTGGGCATCAGATTTAAGAAATATTGATATTATATTGGCAATTGATAAAAAGTAAGATAAATGACTTTTTTGCCCTTCTGTACTATTAGTGCAAAAAGTAGTGATAATAACGAAAAAATAGAGATAGTTTTATTGTGATATAATTATTTATGAAAATGAGACTATTGTTTTGGGACGGACAAAAACGGTAAACAAAACTATTGTATTGAGACGGATGGAGTATAATACTCCGTCTCATAACTATATATTCATTTGATTTTTATACGTAATTTTAGAAATATTAGTATTATATTGAATTGTAGTAGAAATAAAGGTAAAAAGACTAAACTAAATTTATTAGTATTGTATGATATAAATGTAATGACATTTGTGTAATATATTGTAAATTAGAATGATATTTGTAATGTTAGGTAGATAGTACAATTACTAAAAAAAATATTTTGTTATGAGACATACCAAAATAAAAAAATAGATAAATTGTTAAGGAACGAAAAAAATATTATATTAATTGATTGCGATAAAAAATGTTATTTGGAAGCATACAATTGCATTAGGTGGCGGAAATAGAATATTATTAGAGAATGGGCAAAATTTTTAAATTTATAAAATAATTTTTTTTTTCATATATATATATATAAAGTAATATTATCATTGCTCAGTTTATATTTATTTTTTGTATATTAATATTAAATATTAATTGTTATATTAAATATAATTCAAATAAAAAGAAAAAAGATAATTTTTTTTATTAATAAATATTGATATATTATCTTTTGGAACAAAAAAACTAATGCACTTGTTTATTAAAAAATAATAATAATAATAATAATAATAATAACATTTTGATATTCTTATTGCTTTTTTATTTATTTCAAATATTTTTTATAAATTATATATGCATATATATTATTTTTTTTAAATAAAAATATCTAATAAAATAGGATAAATGTGGGATGAGGTGGGGTGGGATGGGGCAAGGGTGGGCCTTAATAGGTCCCCCACTTACTGAATTAATGAAGTGGAAAAAAATGATGAAAATTAAAGGGTATGTAATGAATAAAAATATTTAACTTGTCTCAATTAAAATTATTTATTTTTTATTATAATAAAAATAATTATATATTAATACTAAAATAAATTTAATTTTTACATAAATTATAAATATGATTAAATATACAATTAATTTATACATAATATATAAAAAAAAATCAAAATTTTTTTAGATACTTTTATTAACTAATAAAATATTATTATTTTTTTAATTTTAAAAGGATTGAAAATGAGATCGTACATATTTGATGTGAACAAACAAAATAGATTTGGTTGCCCAATGGAGTAATACATACAACTAATTAATATATAGGCTCCATTAGATAATTTTTTATTTTATTTTATTTTATTTTATTTAAATTTAAGAGTTTTTTAAAAATTTTGAAATAATAAAAAGTTAAATATTTAATATATCTTTTTTAAGAAAATTTTGTTCATTATATATTTCATGCAAAGCTTTATATCACAAAAAATGTTAGGATTTGCTTGATTCTATTTTGTTATTTTCTACCATAGTAAAAAAATTTGAATTATAATACTCCCCCGTCTCATATCTATATATCTATTTTCTTTTTTATGGAGTTTTAGAAATATTAGTATTATATTGGGATAAAGTAGAAATAAAGATAAAAAAGATTAAATTAACCCTATTGTATGATATAAAAGTAACAACATTTGTGTAATATATTGTAAATTGGAATGGTATTTGTAATGCTAGGTAGATATAACACTCCTTAGGGTGTGTTTGTTTGGGGGATTGGATTGGATTTATACTATTCATCTGATCTTTTTTCCCAAAAACATCAAATCAAACACCTATTTTTTATTTTTTTATATTATACTAAAAATCAATCTTACATTTAAAACATCACATCAACATTTATTTATATCACATCGTACAACTATTCAAATTCAAAATTTTTACTATTCAAATCCCAACTCAAAATCCAAACCCCCAAACAAACACACCCTTACTAAAAAAATGAAATGGATATTTTGTCATGAGACGGACCAAAATGAAAAAATTGAATAGATTATTAAGGAACGGAGGGAGTAATTGTTAAATGCTATATGAAGAGATATTTAATTTGATATTAATTTTAAATTTCTTTATATAATATATTAAATAAAAACAGATTTATAAATGGATTTTTTTTTTTAAAAAAAAGAAAAAAAAATGAAATTAGTTAGATGAATATTGAAAATAGTATGGAGAAACGCAACAAAAAGAAACTCATATTCTTTTGGAGTTAGAATTTTTTTCAACAGTAGTTTGGGTTAAATTTTTTAAATATAAATAAAATTTAAAATATGTTTCTATAAACGTAATAATTGTTGCGTAGGAAAATTTTTTAACTCAAATTTAAAAAGAATACAGCAAAATATATATATATATATATAAATAAAATTGTATGTTTTCTTTTTTCATTCAAAGGATATTTATGTTTAAAAATCAAATTAATATTGTTTTTATTTAAAAAATTTCAAAACACGAAAACAATCCAAATTAGAAATCGGATAAATACATTATTTTTTACTATTTAAATCGTTTTCTTTCAAACACATATACCATATCCTTCTTTCAAAATTACCATATATATATATATATATAATAAAATATTTTTGTCTTTTTTTTTTTTAATTTGTCCTATATTTTGATATATTAGTACTTCCTCCGTCCCAGTTCAAATAGGTCATTTGGAATTTTGCAGTAGATTAATAAATAATACTAATATTTTATTAGTGATTGGAAGTTTGTAAAAGATTTTAAAGAGCAATGATATGTTTGTAATTTAGGTAAAAGTTAAGAGTATTTTGATACTAATGTTATGATTACTTTTACTAAAATGAAATGAATACTTTGAAGTGGAAAAAAAACGCAAAAAGTATATGAGACGTTAGAGCCGGAGGAAGATACTAAATTTATTTTACAATTTTCATAAACCACTGGTAAATTTTACGCTATTTTGTCGAAATAATTTCTATATAAAAAGAGCTAATTAATATCAACAGACAATACCTAGAGTGAGAAGGAGAGATCATCGCCACCCAATGATTCTCCGCCGGAACCAGAACTCCGGTGACGTTAACGGTCACATACCCGTCGTCGGGCAGCAGTTCCGGCGGATCGGAGACGGTCACTTCGAGAAATGGGCTCGGGCTTGGGCACTGGATCAAATGTCTACGGTTGACCACACGGAAGTCCGACATGGCGGTGTGCCGCCGGAGCGCCGCCGTTGATCGGAGAAGTTTTTCCGGCAGGGATGATGAGACATGACCGGCGGTTGCCGACAAGACGAAGATGGAGATGACATTAAGCAAGAAAATTGTAAAAACCCTCATTTGATGATTTGACATATGATCTATATTTTGTATCAGAAAAAATTATTTCTTTTTTTTCAGAAATCAATGGAAAAATAAATAAATTTAAATTTAAAAAAAAAAAAGAAGCAATTTGGGATCTTGAGGATGAAAAGAAAAAATCAATACGAGGATGGTAAGGTGGAGAGGTCTTTATAGGTAAAGTAATAATTAATTAATTTAAATATAATTAATTATATAATTAATTTTCAACAAGAGAATAAAGGAAACATATTAATTAAGATTAACATTAATTATTTACTTATTAAATATTAAGAATATATTGTATGTGTTGTTTTGTGGATTTTACGGCATATTTTTAATTTATTTATATTTAAAACATCACGTCAATTATTCAAATTTAACTTTTTACTGTTAAAAAATTCAAACTCAAAAACTAAAATCCACAAACAAACACACTCTTTATGCGTTTGTTTGGTGGACTTTTAAATTTTTTTATTATTCATTACTTTTTTCTTTAAAAATATTAAATTAAATATTTATTATTTTTATTTTTATATTATATATAAACATAAAAATATCAATATTTATTATATCATATAATTATTTTAATTCAAAATTTTTATTATTTTAAACTCAGATCTAAAATCTAAACCTTAAAACAAACAAATTGAATATTTTCTTTTTAATATTGAAATGTTATTAAAATATTTATGTGGAATAACATTTAACAAGTCAAACGATAAAAATTATGCTAACTACTAGAAAGACAATACCCTTGGAATTAATTTTTGAAACTATTACATAATTATGTAAATAATATTATAAATCAACTAAATTTCTTTGAATTTTAAAATTTTCGATACTCTGTCATATAAAATAATTTTAAATTTTAGAAGTATAAAAAATTTGAATTCATTATATTAGCGTCCATGATTAATTTATAATTTTGTACAAGAAATAATTTTACTCTAAGACAACATGTAGTAATATAAAATTCTTGCTTAGTAATTCATGCAATGTTTTTAGTTATGCTTTGAAAGTTACCTCGGTTCTTTTTTGTACGGAGTTTTAGGAATATTACTATTATAATGAAATGTTATACAAATAAAGTAAAAAATATTAAAATAATCTTATTAATATTGTGTGATATAAAGATAATGACATTTATGTAATATTTTGTAAGTTGTAAGTGTATTTTTAATATTAGTAAAAAGTACGGTTACTAAAAAAAATAAATTGATACTTTGTTATAAGACAAATCAAAATAAAAAAATAAATATATTGTTAAAAGACAGAGGAAATATTCTAGAAATATATAAATATGAATGATAAAAATATGTTGAATATAAAGCATGTATTTTTTTTTATAATATTTTAAATAAAATTGTTTTGGATATATAATAAGTATTTGCAATTTACTATTTTTACTATTTATCCACTCCAATATATGTGTTTTAAGAAAAAAAAATATCACACTATATTTTTGTTTTATATTTATTTTATTTCCTCGGTTCCAAAATAATAGTTCTATTTTGTCATTTTCGTCCGTCCCAAAACAACAGTTTCATTTCCATTTTTATTAACCAACTCTCCGTCTTTCTACAAAATTATCCCTTATTTTTTACAATAATTTCATAAAATAGGAATATTTTGGTCTTTTAAAAATACTTTTACATTCACTGTTAATATAATACTATTATTCTTTAATTTCTGTACTCATCTGAAATGTCCCTATTATTTTAAGACGGAGGGAGATTATATTAAAAACTAAATATTTATCTAAAATATCAAATTAATATATGTTTATATCAATAAAATAATTATTTTGTGTGATTTGATTTTTTTGGTGAAGTAGTTGCTAGATTTATTTAGCAACTGATATAGCTATGTGAAAAAGATTACTATCATTGGTTCAAAGGTTTTTCCTTTTTTAAAAAAAAAAAAGAAAAGAAAAGAAAAGAAAAAGCACAATGTTAGATTAATTAATATTTATATGTTATTTAGTATAGGAAAATTATTTAATTTGATATAATAAATATAGTCTAAGGGAGGCATTTAAAGACACAACGTGAATTAAGGTATATCACTTTTATTTATTTATTTATTTATTATTATTATTATTATTTATAAAAAACAAGAATTAATCTAGTTAAGAGTTGAAAGGGATGGGTAGAGATGATAATGTTGGAGACGTGGGAATCCGCAGCCGCTATTCAAAAGTGCGTACTGTGTAAACCCTAAACCCCTGGTCGAACTTAATATTATGCAAATCAGGCCCGACATGTAAGTATTTTTTTTTTATCATTTTTTCCATTATTTCAAAGTATTTTTTTTTCTTTTTTTTTTATAGTAAAAACATTAAAAACAATGTACTCTTAACTTTTATTTAAATTACAAAACATATCATTACGTAAACACTTACTTTTTATATAAAGTCAAATGACAAAAATATCAAATCTTCTTACACACTTCCACTGAGTAATAAAATACTAATATTTCTTAATCTATTACAAAACTCCAAATGATCCATTGAAAAATGGATGGAGGAAATATAATTTTTAGGGGTTTATTTACTCTTTGGTGTGAATTGGCATGTGCATATGATGATAGTTTGGTCGATTAATCCCATGATCATATATAATAATTTATACATATTTGTTGTTTTCATCAATATATATATATATATATATTTAAATAAATTGTATTATTATAAAAACAGAACATGGTCACTATCCATCATATCTATCTACCAATCCCAAATAATGTTTGCCTAAATTTTGGTATGACAGCACACAAATATATATACTTCACAATCTTGCTTTTTCAATATTTTCAGGTATTTTTAGGCCCAAAGTTTTGTAAAAATGAAACAAGTTTGGGAAATGTTTGTTGTGTGGGTGTGTTTTTTAGCATGTTTTTGTTTTATGATAAATATTACTCCTTCCATCACATAACTATATATTCATTTATTTATTGCACGGAATTTTATAAATATTAGTACTCCCTCAATGCCATTGAAAGGTTACAATTTTCTATTTTCGTCCGTCTCAAAACAAAGTTACCATTTCTTAATTTAGTAGTTGTACTACATACTTCACATAATAAATACCCTTTCAAGTTACAATATATTACACAAATGCCATTACTTTTATATTACACCATACTAATAGGGGTATTTTTGTTTTTTTTTTTACTACAATCCAATATAATACTAATATTCAAAAATCTACGTGCAAAAAACAAACGCCACCCTCCTTGCGGGACGAAGGAAGCATTATATTATAATGTCGTAAGAATAAAGTAAAAATTACTAAAATAACTTTATTAGTATTGTGGATATAAATGTAATGACATTTATGTAATATATTGTAAGTTGTAAAAGTATTTGTAATATTATGTAGATAGTACAATTACTAAAAAAGGAAATTGATATTTTGTTATAAGACGGATTAAAATGAAAAAATAGATACTTTGTTATGAGACGGAAGGGGTATATCGTATAGATAAAATAAAAAATACTATCTCCGTCTTAGTTAAAGTGTCTACATTATTGTAGACACAAAAATAGAATTTAAGTAAAGTATAATTAGTAAGTAATTAAAAAGTATATCAGTAAAAATAATTATTATATAATAAAAATAATTATAGAGTAAAATTACTAAATAATTTCATTAAGATTAAAAAAATTATAAATTATAAAATTTAAAATGTGATTAAAATGTATAATTTTTTTTAAATGAAAAATGACAAATTATGTTGGACAGACGAAAAAAAGAACATGAACACTTTATGTGGGACGAAGAGAGTAATATTTTATATTGGATTGTTAATTTTTTTTTTTAGTAAATATAATATATATTATATCATATATTATATAAAATATAAAATATATACTATTCTATTCTTTTATAATATTAATAAAAAAAAATATGCATAAATATTATTAGATGAACACCCTAGTGTTTTTTTTTTTTTTTTTATTTATTTCTCTTGGAAAAGATATAGTATTTTTTTTGGTTTCATAATAAGTTACACTAATCAATATTGGTCAAATTTTAAAATTTTAATAATCTTTTATTTATTAAAAATCAATTTAATTAATTTTTATTTCACCATTAACTTTCCAACAAAAATTGTTGCGAATATGAATGGTTCACAAGCATGTTGGGTAACTTATATGTTGACCAATTTTAACACAGCCATGTTCAACATGGTGGCAACACATTCAACACTTTTTTTTTTTGGAATAATTTTTTATTAATATTATAAAAAAGTAATTCTTTTATTTTGGAATAATTGATCTCTTTTATTAATAATATGGTATTTAAAATAATAATATTTAATTAATTAATTAATAATAATAAATTATGATATTATTTTAATATTTTTATTTAATTAATAATATTGATAGTTTTAAAATAAATTTAATATATTATATGATTAAAAAAAATTTAAGAAATATATTTAAATATTTTAAAAATTATATAGCAATAAAAAAAATATATGGAATATGAATTAGAAAATAAAATTTTCTATAATATAAGTAAATAAAAAAAACATTTATTTATATGTAATTAACATAAATTAATTTATAAAAGATGTGAAGTTTTAAATGTAAGATAAATTTTTATTTTTTAATGGATCTTATATGATGTATGATATTATATGTTACGTAATTAATTAAATTGATTTATATTTGTTGATTATGTTTTGATTTAATAAATTTTACTCAAAATAAAAGGTTGTAAATTGTTATAGAACAGACAAAAATAAAAAAATGTGTCAATTAAAATACAAAATCAATAATTCATACAATAACATAATATATATATAATTTTTTTTTATCCACTCATAAAAATCAATAATTCAACATAAAACTATTTTTTTATATATTACCAATATTTTTTTTTCATATTTAATATGAAAAAACATATTTATTCAAGAATAAAAAGTGAACAAACCAAGGGGTGTATTCATTTGAGATTTTGTAAGATTATGTTGGATTTTAAAAAATTTATGAATTTATGTGGATTTAGAAATTCCACAGAGTTTTCGCGAGAGTTGAATGAATTTTATATATTAATTTAAATAGATTTT